TCTCCTTCAGGTTCTGCTGCTGCTGGCTGGGGCTGCTCGCGTCCCCCCGTGACGCCGCCCTTAAAAGCACAGTCTTAACTCAGCTGAATCCCATCTACCTATGCCCACACCCTATTCCAGGTGCCCGCCATCAGGCATGCATTCAGGACAAGGATCCATCATCTATCCTGATGGCGGAAGGGCAGAAAAGCCTGATACCTTTTACCTTACCCTACACCAGTCAAACCATTTTTAAGTTGGGGACTCTCAGAAAACCAACTCCATCCAGTTTGCCTCACCTGAAGCACCAGTGTTATATGTCTTTTTTGTTTCTCCTACATCCTTTTCTTCTTGGTTTACTCCCTTATTTTGACAGCTGTCTCCAGTAGCTTCCTAAGAAAGGTAGGTAGAAAGATATTTTTAGACCTTGTATATCTAAAAATGTCTTTGTCATCTCACACACTGATGAATAACAGCTGATATTCATAGATATTTAGGTTAGAAATAACTTTTCCACTGAGGTTTGAAGGAAATCTTCCTTTGTCTTCTATTTTCCAGAATTGCTGTTAAGAAATCATAAGCTTCTTGGATTACTAATTTTTTGTACATGCCCTGGTTTGTACCTATAGACGTTTATAGAATCCTCCTTTCGCCCCCTATGCTTTTTTCAGATCTGTTTTCATTCCTTCTGTTGGGCATTCAGTGGCCATTTCAGTCTGGAAACATACCCTTCATTCCTAGAAAGCAGGGTTTTTATTTCTGTTATGTTTTTAATTTACAAGAGCACTTTCACTTCTTTCTCCAAAAGTACCTTTTTTTAAATTAATAAATACTATTCTGTTTTGTTTTCTTTCATGGATCTATATTTTCCCATATTTTGATGACACTGGTAGATTTTTTTTTTAATTTAATTTGGAAGTTGTCTTTTTATTAAGCCAAGTTCTCTTCCATTTCACAAGAACATAAATTATAAAGAAAACTGGGTCCTTCTATAAAGAAAACTAAGTCTTTCTTAGATATGTATTATTACTATGTTTTTTTCTTTTTTTTAAATAAAGATTTATTTTTATTTATTTATACAAGCACTGGGTACAGTCAGAAGCGCAGGAGGGTGAGGGAATTCACCAGAGCCAGAATGGGGAGCAGAGGAAGGCAAACTGAAGTACACTGCAGCGGGCAGCAGGAGAGGTCTGCGCGCCATGTGGGACCCTCCTCCAGTGGCCAGGGAGCAGCCGGGGATTGAACTGGCGTTGCAGAGGCTGCGGGCAGCTTTGCAACTCAGCGCTCAACTGCTGCGCCACTGGGGAGGCCTTATTACTGTGATTTTTGACTTGTTAAAATCTTTCTCTTTTTTTCTTTCCTATTTTTTTAAATTTTTTAATTATTTTTTTTATTTTTTACATCATTGTTCATTTTTAAACAATATTTGCTTCACCCACCCCCTCAGGTGTAGTCCCCGTAGAGTTTCCTTCACCAGTGCACCCGTGCACCATCACCTCAGTCCCCTGTGCTCCTCCCTCCCTTCCTCAGATTCCTCTCTCTCCCTCCTCCTTCCACAATGATTTATAATTGTCTGTTTTTGCTTTGTTGTGTTTTGTACTGTTGTTGTTTTTTTAAGATTTATTTTATTTATACAAGAGCTGGGGTACAGACCAGATGCGCGGGAGGGTGAAAGGATTCACCAGAGACAGCGGGGAAGAGAACAGGCAGGCTGACGAAATACACTGCTGAGGGGAGCAGCGGGTGAGACAGGAGAGGTCTACTCACCATGTGGGTTGCTCCGAGGCCATCAGGGATCGAAATGGCACTGTAGAGCCTGCGGACAGCTTCACAGTGCTGCACTCAACTGCCTCTGCCACCAGGGAGGCCCATGTTGTTATTTTTTTACACCGATGTCTTATTTGGCTCCCCTATATTCATGCTATAAGTGAAACCATCCGATATTTTTCTTTTTCCTTTCAGCTTATTTCACTGAGCATAATTCCTTCTAGCTCCGTCCATGTTGCTGCGAATGGCATGAGTTTATCTTTTTTGATTGCTGAGTAATATTCCATTGTGTATATGTACCACATCTTCTTGATCCAGTCATCTATTTTGGGGCATTTGGGTTGTTTCCATATCTTAACTATTATAAATAGTGCTGAATAACCATAGGTGTACAGGTGTTCTTTTGAATCAGTGTTTTTGAGTCCTTTGGGTAGATCCCTAGGAGTGGAATTGCTGGGTCATATGGTAACTCCAATTTTAGTAGACTGAGGAACCACCAGACAGCTTTCCATAGTAGTTGGACCAGTTTGCATTCCCACCAGCAATGTAGGAGAGTTCCTTTATTACCACATCCTCGCCAACATTTGTTGTTGCTTGTTTTTTTGATATGTGCCATTCTTACTGGTGTAAGTGTGGTTTTGATTTGCATTACCCTGATTATAAGGGATGTTGAACATTTTTTCATATGCCTGTTGGCCATTTGCATTTCCTCTTTGGAGAAATGTCTTTTAAGTTCTTCTGCCCATTTCTTGACTGGATTGTTTATTTTGTTTTTGTTGAGTCATGTGAGTTCTTTGTGTATCTTTGTGATTGGTCCCTTATTAGTTGACTGAAGTGCAAAGATTTTTTCCCAATCAGTGAGGTGTCTCTGTTTTGGTTAATGTCTCTTTTGCTGTGCAGAAGCTTTTCAGTTTGATGTAATCCCAGGTGTTTATGTTTTCCTTGACTTTCTTTGCTTTGGGTGATGAGTCTTTAAAGATGTTATTGCGATGTATGTGTTGTAGTGTTTTACCTATATTTTCTTCTATATATTTTATAGTTTCAGGTCTTATGTCAGCTCTTTTACCCATTTTGAGTTGATTTTTGTGCACGGTGAAAGGTACACTGGTAGATTTTTGTTGTTGTTTGTTTATACTCTGCATAATGTCTTTTCTCAAGTTGCTTTTGGGAGAGGAAGAGTAAGTTGGTGTTGGTGATTTTGTCCTTTCTCTTGTTGGAATATTTCCATAGATATCTGGTAAATCTTTGTCTATCCAGGTTGGTGACAGACTTAAAAGCTGCGAGAAACTCTGAGTACTTGAGAGGACTTGTCATTTCTGAAGTTCCCGGTAGGTGGAACTGCTGCCCATTTCTTAGAAAATACTCTATGTCAGTGTCTTTAGGTGTTTCCTCTTGGGCTGTATGGGTTATCCAGGGAATACTCCCAATCTCCCACATGAAGGATAGGTTTTTGGAAGGCAAGTGGGGGTTCCAGGGTCTTTGCATTCAGCATGCATATGTTCTTAGTTCACTTAGTACCCTTTTTTGCTTAGATGCCTTTGCTCCTTTGCCTCCCAGTCTAGTGAACCCTCTCTTTCACCTCTCCACAAATTTACAATGTACTCTGAAGGGTAGAGAAGAAGATCTAGGAATCTAAAAATGTCTTGAACAGTTTACAAGTCTTACTTATTTAAACTCACCCTGTTTCACCCTCACTTCCGAGAGTGCTTGTACTGGCATTTGTAGAGCTTCCAAATGCTCTTTATTGGTAAATAAAATTAAACAGCATTGTTCTTCTCTACTAATGAGCTAGCAGTCTGCTTTCTCAATTCTCACTCAGTTGAAATTTGCTTCTTTGCTGAAGTCATAGACTTAGATTAAACATCACCCTTAAAATACAACATATTTGCCTTATTTGCTTAACTAGTGACTCTTGATTTTTAATCAGCATTTCTTAACCCACGCCCTAAATTAAAGACTAAGACCTTGAAAGTTACCTACATCTTATATACATCTATCCCCCATCACCCACCTTTCCACCTTCCTGTATGCAAGGTAACTTGCATCCTGAATGTGCATTATTCTATGTAGTTATATTGAATCTACAAGTGTTCCTGTAAAGTTTACATCTTTATTTTAGTTCCTTTTAGACTTTCATTTTTCAATTACTAATATAGAGCATTAAGATTTGTACATATTTTTGCCTACCACTGTAACCTCTTATTTTGACAATCATGTAATATTCTATTTTATGAGTATACTTTCACCTTCCAGCTTTCAAAATTTCACTGCTATTGTCTCCCCACTTTGTCTCCTCTTTCTTGTGGATTTTTTTTAAAACTTATTTACTATAGTATTAGTGGGATTTTTAGGAGGGAACAAAATTAGATGTGTGTATTTAAGCCACCATTTTCACCTGGATTACCTAAGTGATTATCAAAAGTAATTTTGCTATATGAGATATGTTTGCCTTACTAACTTTTGAAGCCTAAATGCTGTATAAAATATGACTTCATGGTGTATACTCTAAGCCTTGATTTTATTAGCATTAATAGATAATATATAATAATAGAAAGCCAGCAAGAACTTCTGTGGTCATCCAGTCCAGCTTTCCATCTGGTAAAGGAATGTTCCTGGTCAGAAGCCACAGATAGTGTTCTTTGACCTTGGAGGTACCTTTCAGTAATTAAAACAAAGAAAAATGTCGATATTTTAGCTACCCTTTAACAACAACAACAACATCAAAAAACCATTGCAATTAAATGTGAGGTTTCCATTAAACTTGTTTTTTGGGTTTTTTTTTTTGTTTTTTTGTGGAACCCTCACCGGCTGCAGAGGCTGCGGGCAGCCTCACAGCCCAGCGCTCAACCTCTGTGCCACCAGGGGAGGCCCTAAACTTATTTTTTAATATTGAAAATAGCCCAAGGGGAGGGCCTCCCTGGTGGCCTAGGGGTTATGTCTCAGCGCTGTCACTGCTACAGCCTGAGTCTTACCCCATTGCACAGCAGATCTCTCCTGTCTCGCCCCCTACTCCCCTCAGCAGTATATTTCAGTGCATCCTGTTCTGTTCCCCACTCTGTCTCTGGAGAATCCTCTCACCCTGCACACCTCTGGCCTACACCCCAGATCTTCTATGCAAAAAAGAAAGAAAGAACCCAAAAGGAAAAATTTTGCCTTTGGGGAATTCTAAGGGCCTAGAAACCCAGGTTAAGGATGCAGTTGTGAGTCCCATACCAGAAGTTTAAAATGTTTCTTATCCTTTTTTTTCATTTCAGAGATGTTATCAAGTGGTTGGTCAAAGCAGTAACTGAAGATGGATTAACTCAGCCCCCAGATGGGAATCAAACCTCCTCAGGAACTGGAATCTTGAAAGCCAGCAGTAGCCACACTTCTCCCCCGCCCAACCTGACAAAGAACACCAATCAGCTGTAAGGGGCAGGCAGAAGTTGTCTTTCCTGGGGCTATAAAGATTTAGTATCATAGAGAACAGCACTTCAGAGCAGTTTTCTCAAAATTAACAAGCTCCTAAAACATAGGCTGATTCTTATTAAAGACTCTCAGTTTGACTAAGGTTAAATTTCTAATTCCAAAGGTAGGAAAAAACAATAGATTCTTTCCCCACAAATGAATAGGACTTCATTAAAGGAATACAAATTCATGAAGCCAAAGTGAATCAAAAGCTAGAGGACACCATCTCCCTTCCCTGTACTCCAAGAGAAAACACAGTATTACAATTTCTCATCACTTAAGCCGTCTATTGACAGCAGGGAAGGAGTTGTGGGTAGTGGCTTCTTGCAGCGTATAATCCACAAGGACCTGCTTCTCTCCTCAGGCCCTGGGAATAGAATTGTAGTTTAATCCATGGGGTCCAATAGTTTATAACAGCAATGGCTCTGGCCAGGGGACATTTATACCTTGGATTGCACTGGAAAGAGATTCCTGACATTTCTTGTATGAGGTTGAAAATTGTTTTGGCATTTTTTGAGAGATGCCAGGATTTTAGGGGCTGGAGCTACCCTTGCTTAAGTAATCTACTAGTCCAACAAATCTTACATTTCAAATGCAGCATTAGTGCCTAAATTCACAATGCTGTATTATAATCTAGTGTCATCAACCTGATATTTATATAAGGCCAGTGAGTTTAAATTAATTTAGGAGACAACCAATAACCTTAAATTATTACAACATTACACCAAATAGACAACCTTAAATAACCTTAAACCTAATAAACTTTAAATTAATTTAGGAGACAACATAATAACCTCATATATAAAGAGAAAATGAAGCAATGAAGCAATTACTTGGACAGAATGGGGAAGATCCTAAAAAGGGATTATATATAGACATAAGGGAAAAGGGAACACTATTCCTTCAGTGGAAGCTAATATCATACAATAATAATAAATATATAAAAAAAGTAGTAGAAATAAAACAAGGCTCTCTAAAAGTCAGTTTATCATGATCTTATCAATAATAGGCACTATTGTTTACCATCAGTGAGAGTCTATCTGCCATGTATTTTATATAACACCCCTACTTTATGAAATTGGTGGTGGTATTCCCCCTTTTATAGATAAGAATACTTGGACTCAGAACAGTTTAGTAACTTGTCAAAGGTTAAAACAACTTATTTCAGAGCCAGAATCTGATACCAAAGCCCCTAGTCCATCTATTGTGTCATTAGCTACAAATTTTCTGAAAACAGAGCCCTTTTTTCCACCACAAATAATAATGCATGTTAGAAAGACTGACTTTAGGCGAGGCTCTCTTGGCCTAAATCTGGGGTTGCCCAGATTACTTCGCCTATTATTAGGTATGACAGTAGCAAGGATCAAGTTCCACCAGTTGAAGTTCTAAGACTGAACTTAGTGAGAAATTTTTGTAAAGGAACCAGTAACAGGAGAATATATGGTAACTGTATTTTCTCCTATATCAAAGAATATAGTCATTCTGCATCTGTTTCTTGAGCTGTATAGTAGAGAAGTTATAGGTTAGATAATCCTTAAATTTTCTAGCTCCTTAAGATTGTATGCTTCTATTTTTGAATTTAAAAGCAGCTTGCTTTTGCAGCTCAACCCCAGGTTCTGAGAGGTTCAGATAGTATGATCTGGCAAAAGGGATTCAGGTAGGTGAAATTACTAAATAAAAGCATGCTGATGGCTTGAGTAGTTCTCCCTGACCTAGTGTGTGCTTTACAAGATCCTTTAGTAGTCTCTATTCTCAATGTATACTGGTGGGGACCTCCTCCCAGCCAGCAGGGTGGCTCCTTGTTAGATACCCACGCTCACTTGTATTCTGTATTCCGGACTCAGGATTGTCTGCCAGCTGCAAAGGATGCTGTCCATAGCTGTAGAGGTGGACAGGACTCCCACCTGTAGCTCCAATAAAATTGCTGAGATGATGTTTGGATTTGTACTGGACATTCCTGAGAGGAGTCAAAGGTGAGTCTTAGTTTTGTTTTCATTTTTTGTTCTGAGAACCAAATTTCAAAAGAAAAAATTCCAGACATTAATTAGAGGAAAAAAGAATAGAGGGTACTTCCTGTCTATTTAATACTTCGAAAGAAAGAAGTTCTCAACTGTTTTTATTTGCAACTAAGACATAACTTCTTTGGGAAGAAATTATGTAAGTAGACCTTTAAGTAAAGCCTAAATTTTTCTGCTTTATCTTTTTGGCTAACAACTTTACTCATCCTTCAGAAATCAGCTATTCGTCCCTGGCCCTCACCACAATTAAATTATATAATCTTACATAAGTATCATTTTATGAGTTTTAACAAATGCATATACTACGTAACCTATCATTTCTAGTTACTCATTTATACAGTAATCCTGCAACCTTGCTAATTTATTTATTCTACTAGGATTTTGCTTCTGTTGTTTTTTTTAAAAGATTTCTTTTTTTTAAAGATTTATTTTTATTTATACAAGAACTAGGGTGCAGGTCAGATGCGCGGGAGGGTGAGAGGATTCACCAGAGACAGAGCAGGGAACAGAACAGGCAGACTGACGAAATACACTGCTAAGGGGAACAGTGGGCGAGACAGGAGAGGTCTGCTCGCCATGTGGGTTGCTCCGAGGCCGGTGGGGATCGAACCGGCACTGCAGAGGCTGCAGACAGCTTCACAGCACTGTGCGCAAGTGCCTGCGCCACCAGGGAGGCCCATTTTTTTTTTATTTAGGTATACAAGAACTGGAATGTAGGCCAGAGTTGCAGGGGTTGAGAGGATTCACCAGAGATGGAGTGAGTGGGGAGTAAAACAGGTGGATCTACTGAAATACACTTCTGAGGGGAGCAATAGGTGAGACAGGAGAGGTATTTTCTACCCAGTCTTTCTGTAAATAAAACCGCTTGACGTCTTCCTTTATAATATGTATGACTTTTGCTTCTTTTTCTTGACTTACTGCATTGGCTAATACCTCCAATAGAATGTTTTTTTTTTTTTTAAGATTTATTTTATTTATTTATTTATTATTTATTATTTATTTATACAAGCACTGGGTACAGTCAGAAGCGCGGGAGGGTGAGAGAATTCACCAGAGCCAGAGCGGGGAGCAGAGCAGGCAGAAGGACCGAAGTACACTGCTGAGGGGAGCAGCGGGCGGCAGGAGAGGTCTGTGCGCCATGTGGGACCCTCCTCCGGTGACCGGGGAGCAGCCAGGGATCGAACCGGCACTGCAGAGGCTGCGGGCAGCTTCGCAACCCAGTGCTCAACCGCTGTGCCACCGGGGAGGCCCCAATAGAATGTTAAGTGATGAGAGCAGACATCATTGCCTTATTCCTGATCTTATGGGAGAAACATTCATTCTTTGGCTATTTGGTATAATGTTAGGTATAAATGTTTTAAAGATGCCCTTAGATTTGGGAAGCTTCCTTCTATTGCTAGTGTATTGAATTATTATGAAGACTTGGTGTTGAAATTTATAAAATATATTTTCTTTATCTGTTGAGAGAATCATAATTTTTTCCTTTATTCCACTGACATGATGAATTACATTGATTAATTTCCTAATATTAAACCAGCCCTGCATTCCTAGAATAAAAATCCCTATGTCATTATATTATCCTTTCTGTATATTGATAGATTGAATTTGCTAGTATTTTAAGATATTTTGCATCTATATTTATGAGCTATTGACCTGTAATTTTAATCTTATAATTTTATTCTCACACATATTTAAAGAAATATAAAATAAATTACTTTGCAATATCATTTCTCACTTATCTGAATAGTAAAAAATGTTATGTACTTCAATATACTCTATAAGTGAGGCTTTGAGATTGCAAGTACTCATACACAGCTGGTGGGAATGCAAAATGGTGCAAGCCTTTATGTAGGGGAGTTTTGCAGTATCTAACAAAATTAGATATACATTGACCTCTCATCAGCAGTCCCACTTATAGGAATTACCCTGAAGATATACTTTTAACTATATAAAATGACATGTACACAAGAATATTCATTACAGCATTATTTGTAATTGCAAAACACAGGAAACAACCATCATAGGACAGTGGAGTTATATAGCTGTGAAAAAAATAAAAATATATAGGGATAAAATTTCTATAAACTGATTTCCATAATATATTAGTAAAAAAAGCAAAATATAACAGAGTATGCTTAGTAAATATCCACATCTTTTTTTTAAGAAAGGAGAAATTTTCTTCTTCATGTATCTCTGAGTTTTCCGTCTGTGGATTATAAAGCCAGGGAAAGTGCAAGTCCTGGAATAAAAATTGGAAAAGAAAATACAATTTAAAATAAAAGATTATGGAACAGGAAAACTGTCTTATGAGCATTATTGGCCAGTTGCAGAGTAAAAATCACACTTTAAAGAGAATTTGGAAAATATCTTGCAAATACAGTAATGTGGAGTTCTTTGCATTAAAGAAGAAAATTTGTCAGAGATGGTTCAAAAACATTAAAAAGATAAAAGCCTACAAATATTGTAGAATTTTTAAAATTTTGAGTAATAAGAGAAAGGCTACAAAAATATTCATTCTGGGGCCTCCCCGGTGGCGCAGTGGTTGAGCGCTGGGTTGCAAAGCTGCCCGCAGCCTCTGCGGCGCTGGTTCGATCCCCGGCTGCTCCCCGGCCACCAGAGGAGGGTCCCACATGGCGCGCAGACCTCTCCTGCCTCCCGCTGCTCCCCTCAGCAGTGTGCTTCGGTCCTTCTGCCTGTTCTGCTCCCCGCTCTGGCTCTGGTGAATTCTCTCACCCTCCCGCGCTTCTGACTGTACCCAGTGCATGTATAAACAAACAAACAAATAAATAAATAAATAAAAACATGCCTCTATTAAAAAAAAAAAGAAATCAAAAATATTCATTCTGGTTTTTATTTTATTGGGGGGGGTGTATGTGTGTGTGTGTATATATATATATATATATATATTTTTTTTTTTTTTTTTTTTAACGTTCTTATTTATTTTTTCACCATATAGGATTTCTCCCCTCAGGTGCAGTCACCATAGTTTTACCACCATCACAGTGCCCACAGTCCTCCACCACATTCCACCATGTTCTCCTCCCTACCTACTCTACCCTTCTTCCACCCCTCCTAGATGTCTCAGCTCTACAGTCTGCTTTCAAGGACTATTCTTAGAGTTTGTCTGATCCATTGTTTGGTTTCTTTAGACTCCACATGTAAGGGAAACCATCTGGTATTTATCTTTCTCCTTATGTCTCATTTCACTTAGCATAATCCCTCCCAGTACCATCCATGTTGCCAAAATGTCATGAATTTATCTTTTTTATTGCAGAGTAATATTCCATATGTACTTCATCTTGATCCAGTCATCTGTTCTAGGACATTCAGATTGTTTCCATGTCTTGGCTAAATTGTGCTGCTATACACATAGGAGTGCAGGTTTCCTTTCGAATTAGTGTTTTTGTGCTCTTTGGCTAGATACCAAGGAGCAGAATTGCTGGGTCACATGCTAAATCCATTTTTAGTCTTTTGAGGAATCTCCACAGTTCTTCCCATAGGGCCTGGGCCAGTCTACATTCCTACCGGCAGTGTAAGAGGGTCCCTTTTTCTCTACACCTTCCTCTGCACTTGTTGTTTGTGATTTTTCTCATATATGCCATTCTCACAGGTGTGAGATGTTATCTCATTGTGGTATTGATTTGCATTTCCCTAATGGTGAGTGATGGTGAGCATTTTTTCATGTCTGTTGGCCATTTGCGTGTCTTAGAGAAATGCCTACTTAGCTCTTCTGCCCTTTTTTGGATTGGGTTTTTTTGTTGTTGTTGAGTTCATCCTGCTTTTTGAACTTTGCTTTTACACAAATAATATATATACCTGGTGGAAAAGCAAATGGAAGGGGAACCAAGAAAATAAAAACAAAATATACTTTGTTGTTTATTATGGCAGTGAAACAGAGTACCACCCCTAACCTCCCCCCCGCAATTTTCCAGATGGTGCAAAACTGCAGAAAGTCAGAATGTCATAGGAGAAAAAAACTCTTGGATGTGGGGCTGGCCCTGTTGTCTGTTGACTAGGCAAGCCGTGCTGTTACTTCTTGCTGCCACCTCCTCACCTGCTCACTCTCTGCTTCCCAGAACTGCTCGGACTAGTAAAGAAACCAAATACGTCCAGGCAGTGCAGAGAGGCACTCTGTGCATGGAAGAGTCATCATCCTTTTTTTTTTTTTTTTTTTTTTCCCAAAGCTGATGTTTTTTTCAGGACAATGAATTGATTCATTAAACTTCCTGAAGTCTACCTCCAGTTTTGTAGCTCTCCTGCTCAGAAGCCTCTGGACATGCTCCAGTCTGCCCTTCACTGGTCAAGCCCCCGCATGAGGTAGAATAACAAAGCCAAGGTCAGGAGTCCCTCTGGGATGCTAAAATATCAGACTTAAAATTTAATGCCATAGCTGTGTATTGTTTACTTCTTTGTTTTTGCCCTTATTTTTCCTTTTGTTGAAATTCTCCTGCCTTGAATCTCCTTTGCTCCTCCTAGACCACTGTCAACCAGTGCCACCACCTGCTAAGATGGCCACTTCCAGCCCCTGACCAAAGGGCACTCTCTTCTGTGTCTCTAGAGCAGGCAGGCACCTCGCTCACCTACAGATATACTCTCCTGCAGTGTGGGCTCCCATGGCGTGCCTCTCATCCCTTTTCAGTTATCACCTTTTCTTTAAGCAATACCCTCTTCCATTTATCTCAGTATTCCTGGTTGTACCAAACAGCAATTGGCCCTGTAGGCCAGTTTATTTACATGTTTTAATTCTCTAGGTACGATACAAAGTAATTCTAAAATGTGTCCTAAATTTGTCTTTTTCAAAAGTCAAAGATTTTCCCCTCCTCTGGTAACTGTTAATTCAAGAACAAATCCATTTCTGCCCTGTCCACACGCTTTGTGGTTTTTGAGGCCTCCGCTGTATTCCTTCTTCGCCATCTCATTTCTAGGGCAGCTGTTAGCACATTCAGGGGAGGTGAGTTTTTTGTTCTTTGAAACACTTATGATGGGCAATTCCCTTTTCCTCTTCTCCACACAGAGAGATGTTCTTTACTACCATGGAAAGCCACCTTCTGCGCTGCAAAGTGTTAGAAATCATATTCCTCCACAGCTGCGAGACGCCCACTCGCCTGCCCTTGTCTCTGGCCCAGGCCCTCTATTTTCTGAACAATTCCACATCACTGCTCAAGTGTCAGGTATGTTTCTCCCAATTTCAACCCCTGGTTTAAAACACCTTTTCCCTACTCCTTACCATTATGTAAAGATGACTTGAAAACTGTACAAAACCTTTAGCTGAGGAAAGATTGCTTTTTACTATCTCTGCAGTCAGATAAAACCCAGTGGCAGACTTGGGATGAGCTGGTTGAGCATCTGCAGTTTCTGTTATCCAGTTATCAACATGTTTTAAGAGGTAAGGAGCATTTGTTCACAAATAAGCTAGTGTTGAAGGTCTCATAATGGACATTATTGTGAATTAAAGTTACATAGAGATGGTAATTTGCTAGCTTAAGTGAAGCATTATTTCTTGGTTGCCACTAGAAGGAACAAGGAATAACATAGCTGGAACTTGTTCTATGAAATAAAATTCACTTATCTTTGTTAGGGCAGATGGTACAGTGGTTGTCAGTTACCAGATTGTATAGGTAAGCCAAAGTCATCATAACATGAGAAGTAATCAGGAGTGATCTGATTATCCCTGCCACCAGTCCTCGCCCATCACTGTAGTGTGTTGGGTAGAATCCTCACCTACTGTAGACATTGTAAATATCAATACACAAAGCAAATCAATGGTCAGACAATTGCAAAAGTTGTAAGACTGAAGTCTGTGAAAGTTGCTCTGCTCAAACCACAGGCAAAGTCAGTGACTAGCAAATTACCATCTCTGATGACACGCAGGAGGCCAATTTTGACATGTATTATAATGGAATAGCCACTTCTAATGAGAATGGTTTTATTAGCCAAGGATTAATGAGGCCCTTGGGAAAACTGATGTAATTATTTATTGCAAAAGGAAAGATCGTAACTCAACAGAGAAAACTGGCCTTCCTCTTGATGTGAAGCCCTGAGAAGGGCACCTTGTCACTTAGTAGTGTTCTTGCCAGAAATTCATGACCTGAAACTAATTACAAGGAAGCATCAGACAAACCCCTAGATTGAGGGACCTCTTACAAAGGAACTGATCTTTATTCTTCAAAAGTGCCAGTGTCTTAAAAGCAAGGACTGAGGAACTATTCCAGATTAAAAAGCTAAAGCACATAAATACTAAATGCAAAACACAACCTTGGATTGGATCCTAAACCAAGCAAAAAGAAACTGTAAAGTAAACTTTACTGGGACAGTTGATGAGATTTAAATTGACTACAAAATAGTATAGTATTAATATAAAATTTCCTATTTTTGATAAATTACCCTGGCTTATGAAAGAAAATAAATGCCCTTGGTCTTTGGAAATTCACCTGAGGTGTTGAGGGACAGGGGCATATTGTCCAACTTATTCTTAAATACTAAGGGTTCCGGAAAAGTATTTGTGTGTGTGTGTGTGTGTGTGTGTGTGTGTGTGCGTGTGTGTATGTATACATACATATGTTATTTTTTATCGTCTTGAGGTTAATTTTAGCTCAGGAATGGCACATGGGAAGATAAGAGAGCCATTACATGCTCTCTCAGACCTGGAACTGAGGTAGCTGTTGGTGAGGACACCAAAAAAAAAAAAAACAAAAAAAAACTGGATTTAAGACAGACAGTCTGGGTTTAAATCCAATTTCACCATTTAGTCTGTATTTGGTAGCTAACTTCATGTTTCCAGATACCAAGTTTCTTCCTTCTATAGAATGGGCATTGTCATGTATAACTTGCCAAGACTGATTGCTAATAGGTGTGAGGAAAAAGCAGCAAGTGCTGAATCAAGGTTAGCTGAATCTCTGTCTATCTGTTTGCCGAGCCAGGAGCAGGCTAAAGTAGTCTGCTCTGTCAGGCTCTGTAACTAAAACTTAGGCGAGTCTATAGTCAGGTATACTACATGTGGTGGTGTAGTTTGTGCATTTTCAGTACCCTCAAAAAAAGGTACATGTCATTCTCAGAACAGAGCCCGAAAGGCAAATTCCATGTGTACTTAAGCCTCACTGAGGTTTATGTAATTGTTTATTTTGGAAATCTAGCAGAAAGTTTAATATTAAAGCAGCTTGTTTTGTTTAAAGTTCACCTTTAGCACTTCTTGTTCATTTGTTTTGATTCCCAGAGAAATCACCTCTCAGGAGCAAGAGTAACCTAATATAGACAGATTGGTCTTACACTTCTAATAAGGGAAAGAGCTCTCAGACAAGTATATGAAATAAATAAGAATAAATAAGAATAAATGCTACTTTATCCTTAATATCCTCTCCTGATTCTTTGGAGGCCAATAATTAAGAGAAACAAGATTGAGAATCAGTGTCCTCCTGAGAAAACAGCTGAACAGAGCTTGAAATGGCCAGTGTCTTTGTCAGGAGGCCTCTTACTCTGAAGGCTCCTTAGTCCTCTCTGCCATCTCCATGGGACTCAGGACATTGTTGAAGACATTTTGAGTTCAGCCTGAGTAGTCCAGCCCCAAGGCAAAGAAGGGAAGAGCTTGGGAAGCCCTTTGCTTAGGGGAACTTTTTAGCCTGGAGAAAGAGGAAGACTAGGCAAATTCACGTAAACTGGCCAGTGCAACCCAAGAACCTTGTGAAGGCATCACTTCCATTTCACAAATGGGAGGACAGAGGCCAGGAGAAAAGTAAATGCATTGACAGGATTGAAACTTAGTTCTGTCACCAAAGTCTGTGTGCAGAGAAGACATGCTGGAAGGAATTGCTTTTCTGTGAGATCACCGGGTGACGTTAAAAGATGAGGTCTAAGGAATTTCTCACCCCCATTTCCTAAACTCTCCATACATGGTTAAATTACTGTTGTACAGACCCTTGACCTTGAACCCCCACAACTTGAAAACAGAGAGCAGAGCAGGCCCACTGAAAGGAGGCCGGGTTGCCAGTGGAGCTCACATTCTCTGACTGAGACTTAGTCACGTACACTCCCATTTCATAGCCATGAAACTCCATTTTAAGCCTCAACAAAATGACAAATTACTATGTGCCATGAGTTTTCCTGATGCTTGTGAACAGTTAGAACCTCCTATTTTGAAACTGTGAATAGGAATTTAAAGATAATACTTAAACAAAATGCATTTTCTCCCTGAATTTCACTCTGTGGGACAACTTAGGCAGGGCAGCCTACTGGTGTCAGGTACCAGATTATTCCAAGGGGAGTCACACACAGCCTTCCTGCAAGGAGCCCTGTCCACCAGGGGAGAAAGCAGATAGAGGCAAGATCAGTTCAATTCATGCATTTATCCAGGCAACAAATGCTCACCAAGTCCCTTCTCTGTGCCTGGCTCACTGGGAAAACTTGAATAAGTAAGACTGACATGGCTCCTGCCTTCACACAGCTTACTGTCTAATGAAGAGCCTGGCCCTAAACAAATAATCGTGCAAGGAGCATATTAAAATATAGCATATTAAAATAAATGCTATGAAAGAAGGTATGAGGGCATGTAGTAGAAGGACCTAATCTACTTTTGGAGGGGCCAGGGAAAGCCTCCATGAAGAAGTGATACTTCAGATGAGAGAGGAAGTATTGGTGTTAGCAGGGAAAAGGAGAGGGCAGTTTTCCAGAAACAGCAGCATGTCTAAGGGCCTTGAGAGAAGAAATTGTTTAGTGAGTCCAAGGAACATAGAACAAACTAGTAGGACTGGGATGGTAGTGAACAAGGGGAGAACAGCATGAGATGAGACTAGACAGTAACTAAAATAGGGCAGGAAGGGTCCTCTGGGCCATGTTAAGGAATTTGAATTTGACTCCAAGAGTAAAGAGAAGCCATCAAAGTGGTTTGGAGTAATGTGTCTCTTTCTCATAGGTGGCAAACAGTTTGATGGAAGACCAGAGAGGTCAGAGGAAGGGTAATGGTGATGAGGGTGGACACCCGGGAAAGGCAGTGGATGGACAGAAGTTAAAAAGCTCAGTGCGATGGTTAGGTTATAGATTCCTATAGTGATGACAATGGTAAAGTAATAGCTAGTATTAGGGATAAAATGACCTGACCCAGAAACTAAAAATATATAATATTTTACTGTCAGCCAAAATATCAAGCTAGGAGTTGTGCTAAACCCTTTGTATAAATTGCCTCACACAGTAAGCACAACTACGGATGTAAGAACTCTCATCTTCATCGAAGCATAAAATCCAAGGCCTGGCCAACTGGACCAGAAAGCTGAAGTCCACTGGCCAAGAACTCTTCCCCCTTGGACAGTGTTTAGATGGACACTGCCAACTTTATTAAAATAGATTTCCTGTATTTATAGGAAATGTATTAATACAGAAAATTTATTAATACAGGAAAATGTATTTTAATAGTCTAAATTCTTGCTCCCACCCCAAGTCTCCCCTAATCCCACTGTCAGCCAACCTTTCTTTCCCTCTTTTCAAAATTACTTTTACATTTTCCAGAGTGACATATGGCTATATTTAAAAAGTCAAGTTCCAGGGCCTCCCCGGTGGCACAGCGGGTTGATAGCAGCGCTATGAAGCTATCCGCAGCCTCTGCAGTGCAAGTTCGATTCCCAGCCAGCCAGGGAGATCCCCACATGGCGCAGCAGACCTCTCCTGTGTCACCTCCTGCTCCCCTCAGCAGTGTCTTTGGTCCGTCTCCCTGTTCTGCTCCCTGCTCTGTCTCTGGTGAATTCTCTTACCCTTCCACGCCTCTGGCCTGTATCCCCGTGCTTTATAAATAAGTATTTTTAAAAAAAAAAAAACCAAATTCCACTCAAAGACTTTTGTCTCCCTACAACCATTCCCTGCTAGTAGCAAAGTGAAATTGAAATTTCCCTTCTTAAAACTTTCTGATTGGGCCTCCCTGTGGCCTAGGGGTTAAGTCTCAGCGCTATCACCACTGTGGCCTGAGTTTGATCCCTGGCCAGGGAGCTGACCCACATATGGCGCAGCAGACCTCTCCTGTCTCACCTGCTACTCCCCTCAGCAGTGTATTTCAGTAGATCCGCCTGTTATGCTCCCCTCTCTGTCTCCAGTGAATCCTCTTACCCCCCCACCCCCCTGTACCTCTGGCCTACACCCCAGTTCTTCTATGCAAAAATATAATAAAAATCCCTATTAAAAAAAAACTTTCTGGATACTTCCCTGTGTTCTCCCATCCTATTCCATGGACTAGGCCTTCCTTCTAGTCTCATCTGAACACTGCTCTCCTTCTTACTACCAAATTTTACCTCAAAACAAGCTTTTTTCCTGCCTCAGGGCATTTGTACTTGTGTTCTTGCTGCCTGGAAGGCTTTCTCCCCTTTCTCCTCCTTCAGGACTCAGCTAAGAGGGCATCCCTGACTAGAGTAGACTGCTTCCTTCATCCTCCCATGTTAGTTTATCACAGCATCTGATTTCTTTGTGCTCACTAAAAATATAGTTGTTTTTATGTCTTTACTGTAGGACTTCCTACAACTAGAATGTCATTCCACCAGGGCTAACCCAAGTCTCTGATCCTGTTGTATCCCCAGAATCTAACCCAGCTCCAGATACATGATAGGTGCTTACTGTAAATTTTGATTGACTGTTGAGAAGGCTCTGCAATGACATCTTAATACACCTGTTTGCTGTGTTGCAGACTTTTTGGACACTGTAATTATTATACTTTTTTTTTCAAATTGCCATTAAGCACATTGCTATAAATTTATTTTTAATTATTATTTTATGTATTTTTTACATCATTTTTCATTTTTGTACAATGTATTCTTTTTCATCTCGGTTATAGTCCCTGTGAAATTCCCACCACCCACTCACCCGTGCACCATCACCATGGTCCCTTGTGCTCTTCCCACTCCTGTTTTGATCCTACTCCCTTTCTCTTCCTCCTGGCCCCACAGAATGTCTCTAGTTTATAGTTGCCGGTTGATTCTGATTTTTACTTTATTATAGTTACTTTTTCTCCCTGATCCTTCATTTGAATCCTCTACATTCCTCCTATAAGTGAGACCATCCAATGTTATTTTTTTTCACATTGCTATAAATTTAGAGGGACTAACCTGAAAAGATATCTGAAGGTTGAAAAAAATAACATTGAGCATTTGAAAATGTAATCTACTAAGACTGCTTTAAAAGGTATTCTTGCTCAAATTTCTGGAAACCATGTAGCTAGACCTAAGAACCCTGTTAATGAAGGTACAGTTACCCCATTTTATAAATGAGATTAAGAAAATCATCCTCTCTCTGCTCTGGTGAATCTGGGAGGCATCAGTGTTCAGAACTCTCCTCATTCCAGTTGCCTTATAGTTGACCTCATTGTCCTTGGCCTCAGTTCCACATACTTCCAGGATCCTGCTGGAACTGATCTGTGATTTTGGGATGAGCTACCCTTACAACTTCTTTTCCTTTCCCCCAATATTTTTATTTTTGCATCCACAGAAGAGCTGAAAGAGTAACACAGCAAACACCCATGTGCCCTTCACCTTGATTTGCCAGCTGTTTACTTTTTGCCACACTTGGTTTACCTATTGATTCATCTATATACTTTTTTTTTGCTGACTTAGTTAAGTTGCGCCATCATAATCCTCCCTGCTTAAATATGTCAGCCTAATAAGGATATTCACCTGCATAAAACTATTTATCACACTCAAGAAACTTACCCTTGCTAGATTATCTAAAAATCTGCCCCAAATAGTACCCTTCCTAGGTGGTTTTGTTTTCAGCCAGGATTCAGTCAAATATCATACTTTCTACTTGGTTGTTATATTCTCCTACATTTTTTAAGAGTCTAGTCCATTCTGGATCAAGAAGATGTGGTACATATATACCATGGAATATTACTCGGCATTCAAAAAAGATAAACACATGCAATTTGCAGCAACATGGATGGCGCTGGAAGGGATCATGCTCAACGAAATAAGCCAGAAAGAAAAAGAAAAATACTGGATGGTCTCACTCATAGCAGGAATCTAGAAAACTTAAATAAGGGACCAGGAAAATGAATAACTATAAGAAAGAGAAAATCAAAATCAACAAAAAACTATGAACCAGAGGTACTCTATGGAGGGTAGAGGGTGGGAGGGGAGGGATTAGGGTCAAAATAAGGGGGTTGCAATTGTATGGGGATTACAAAAATAAAATTTATTATAAAAAATAAATAAAAATTTTGGAGTGCTCATAAAAAAAAAAAAAAGAGTCTAGTCCATTGACTTTGTAGAATGTCTCATATAGAAGTTGTCTAAATTTTGCCTCATAAGCAGATTCCTGTTAAACCCTATCGGCATGAACACTGAACAGATGAATGTTCCCTTGCTCAGTGTGACTTCAAGAGGCAAGAATGTCAGTTTGGCCCCATCATTGGTGATGTTGAGTTTGAATATTTGGTTAAGGTTGTCTCTCAGGTTTCTCCATTCTCTTCGCTTTTAGTAAGTAACCCAGAGTGTAAAACCTTGAGACTGTAAATATTCTGTTCAGCCTTTTACTGGGTGGTTTTAACATCCACTGATCCTTCTTACCTGATTCCATTATTCTGTTAGTGTATTCAAGAGTGGTAACTTTCTAGTCATGCATTTCTTCTCCATTTCTTTTTTTTTTTTTTAAGATTTGTTTTGTTTATGCATACAAGAGCTGGGGTCTAGGCCAGAGGTGTGTGTGTGAGAGATGATTCACCAGAGACAAAGTGGGGAGTAGAACAGGTGGATTGACTGAAATACACTGCTGAGGGGAGCAGCGGGCAAGACAGGAGAGGTCTGCTGCGCCATGTGGGCCAGCTCCCTGGCCAGGGATCAAACTCTGCTGCAGTGGCTGGTGATAGCTTCATAGTGCTAAGACTTAACCCCTTGAGCCACCACAGAAGCCCCCTTCTCCATTTCTTAAGTGTTAACAAGAGCCCCCTTCAAAGTAACTGCTGTCCTTCTGACGTGTCCCCATCAGTTTGTAAGCATTCCCTTACTTTTTCTTGTAAAAGGTAGTCTAGCTTCACCTTGTAATTTCTTTGCCATGGTCCTAGAATCAGCCTTTTCTCCAAAAAAAAAAAAAAAAAGTTCTGATTTTTTCCTAGTGAGGGGCAGGAAATGGTATTTAGAAACTAAGATCTGGTTGCTAAGTATGCTGGTTGCTACTGGAGTGTCAGCTTCCAGGCCATTTCTGACAACAAAGCCAACAAATGTTATAGTTTAAGAATATAAATGTATACTGATACCTCAATTTCCATTCCAAGAGTGAGAACCCTTACTCTGAACAACAAATACATTTCTTCACGTATAGGTCTATCCTGTAATATATACACAGCCTCTTTTAAACAATTACTACAATCAACCAATTGCCAACAACAAACTTATTACTAAGTTCAGTATTTCTTTGCAATTCTTTTGATACTTAGAATATCCCTAAAGCTATTGAAAATTCACAAGAATATATTTCAAGTGGTTATATAAATTTGAAATAGTTTCATTTGACAAATATTCACAATGTTCCCCCTTCAACAAGGGGGAAAAAGTAAAACAGAATTTCTTTTACTATGTAAGACTTCTTGAGGACCAAAGGGAATTATGAACAAAAAGCTCTTTTGGAAATAGAGTGTTTTCTTGTGGTTTTTGACTTAGATCCCAGTAACTAGTAAGCCAGGTTTTGCCCAGAACCTAGGTACTAAAATTGGACTTCATCTTAAGTCAGAAAAGAATAAAAGGCAGGTGAGAACAGTTTAACTGACTTTTCCCCCATTGCAGAGCACTTGCGGAGTTCAGTGATTGATCGGAAAGACTTAATAATTAAGAGAATCAAGCCCAAGCCGCAGCAAGGTGATGATATCACCGTGGTGGACGTGGAGAAGCAGATCGAGGCCTTCCGCAGCCGCCTGATCCAGATGCTGGGGGAGCCGCTGGTCCCACAGCTCCAAGACAAAGTGCACTTGCTGAAGCTCCTGCTCTTCTATGCTGCAGACTTGAACCCCGACGCAGAACCCTCTACCAAGACCTGGAGCAGCCCCTGAGTCCTCAGCACTGAACACCAAGAATACCTCCTGAACTCTATCTCCAACTATTTGGAAGTTCTAAAAGTATAAAAAGTAGTTAAAAATCTTATAGGACCAAGCCTATCTATTTATCTGTAGGTTATAACACCTTCCTATGGTTTAGGAAATACCTTTTTTTCCCTATAATCCTATCCTAGCCTGTTCTCAACTGGCATAAATACACATGGTGTATATATTTTGTAATAAATTATTTATCTATACTTTTTTTGGAAACAGGTAATACTATAATATGCACTAAATGCTTAACCATTCAAGATGTGAAAAAAGAATTCCTCTGCTGAACAAATCCTAGACATCAATTATGTCATTCAAGGTACTGACAGCCTGTTTCAAAAGAGAAGGACATTCGTTTCTCCCTAATGGAACAACACTACATCCCGTATTACAAATGTTATATTGCCTATGAATTTGACTTGGTGGCCAGTTATATTAAGATCTTATGTACTGAATAAAGGGGAGAGGAGAAACTAAAAGATTGTGTTACCAAAAAATGGATGTTAAAAGGATATAATAAAAAGGCAATGGTTTTTCAAATTACTGGTTTACCATGCTTAGATTCTATGACTGTGAGTAGAGAAAAAGGAATAACTACTCCCAACAGGACAAAAAAAAAAAGGCTATCCACATTTGAGAAAGTAGTAAGGAATTTTATTGTTAAAACAAGTGATACAAGCATAAGAGAAGACAAATAAATTAATTGTTCTGATCATTTTAGACTCCAGGGCCTCTCTCTATGGAAAGGTCAACTCAGCTCTTTATGCAGACATGATACTATGCAAAAAAAACCCAGCAAGAATTAGAGACAGTGGTCAAGACAAACACTGAGCATGGACATGGTGAAGAGAAATTAAAGGAGGGTTCCCTTGTTCCTTCCCTCAGTCATGAAGGTATGCATTTACAAAGGTAGGAGGCTCATTGGGGAGAACAATGATTTCATGTAGAAATATTTCTAATCCTTCTACCTCCCAGAAAAAAGTTTCAGGCCCTGGCCTGAACAAAGAAATCCAAACAAGGTGACACTAGTTTCACGTGAACCTCAAGACCATAACCTAACTGTACTTACCACCTTCATTTACAAAATTTAACTTCCACTCATCTACACCAAACCAATAGACTGAATTTCCTCTGGAAGGAAGTTTCCAACATAATCATAGTGAAATTAATCTCACTTTAAAGTGCAACCAAGGTGATATGTGAGACTAGTGTTTGTTCTACGACACACAAAACAGAAGCATCCCCCAACAGCACTGCCCCGAGAGAACTGGCTGTAGGCCAAAGTGGCCTGTTAGGGTTACCAGAAAGCAAGGAGACTCCAGCTCCCGCACAGGAAGATCTGTACCAGACCTCAAACACCTTGGAGGTCCCCCTAACGGACCAGGCTGGAGCACAGGGCCAGCACAGTCCAGAGCTGTCCAAACCAGTGAACACACCTCGACTCCATGATTTGCCTACCCAAGCACCCTGGCAGAGGAAAAGCAAGCAGGAAGCCTTGGTCTTGGAACAACATAAACCTCATTTACCTTGTACTCCATGATCAAAGTACTCATCCAGATTAGATGATACCAAAATAGGTGATGAGGTCCCCCACATATCACTGCTGAGATGATTTAATCTTAGAGTACAAAATGGCTTCTTCCACAGGACAAGCTTTGCACTAATGTTTCTCAAATACAATTATGTTTCCAGCTCTAGCCTCAGTTTGAGAGATTTTTAAAAATAATAAACTTTTCCTATATCAGAGCTAAGATAGAAAGGGGAGTCAGGCATAAGACACCTTCTCTCCAGAGTCCCTAGAATAGAAAGCTCTAGAAGCCAGTGGGTGTGAGTATATTCAAGTCACGGGGTTTGAGTTTATGGGTCTTCGGCAGTTGTTTCTTCCCTTCTGTCACTGGGATGTCCATTTTGGGCGGCTTGAAGGCTACTGGGTCGTCTGCCATTCGGGTGGCCTGGACATGGATCACTTCCACTGGAGAAGGTTTCTGGGCTCCTTTATAGGCCTGAGTGGCAAAACTTCCTACCAAGGTAAACCAGAGGGCAAATGATTTCCAAAGCAATAGGCAGCTCCCAACATACTTGGCAAGATGCCTGCCACACTGCTTTCTCTCTTTTAAAGAAGCTGCCTTACCTGAATCAGACTTCTGGAGGGATTTTGGTCCAAAGAGATTCCATTTGTCTGCCAAGTTTCTGTCCTTATCCCCACTTCCAGAATCCATGGTGCTAGGATTTGACACAGGTAATGCTGTGGAGGAACCAGAACTGAACCAGCCTCTGGAAGAGAAAGAATAAAACATATCCTTAATGTATACTCTTTCTAGAGTTCTAGAAGTGTCTCATGTCAAAAGACTAGGGAGACTACTACTCCTCACTCTGAAACTCTTGAGTTTAAACCGTGACTGGGTATGCAGCACTAGCTTTCCCTTTAGCATAGGAAGAGCTCACCTGGACTTTGGCCGAGGGGAAGACTCAGGGGTGTTGCTTGGGGTGGACTGGGCAGAGCCAGACTGCTTCTCGTCTTTTGTTACCTCTCCACTCTGTAGCTTTAGTTTCTGTTCAGAAGGGTAAGAGACGTTTTAAATAAAAAGTGAGAAGTACAGAATAGCTACAAACAGCCAAGTTTGAACATAAACAATGTGGTTTACACTCTTAAGGCAAAAGGAAAACTATTAATAGGTTCTGTAGTTTTGGATTATAGAAGAATTTCCTTTGATTCTGCCACACAAGATAGAATTCCATCTTTTAAAAAAAAACTATTTCTTCTACAACATAACTAAAACACCCCTGTACTAAATGCCACACTAGAGCTTTTACTTTCAGAGAAGTAATTTTCCCACATTCACCCAACCAGGCTTTAGGGCTTCTTGATCTTATAAGTAGGGCCTTGAACTCCTCTGTCTCTCCTACCACATATAGCCCCTGCCATTCCCAGTTGCAAAAAAAATAAAGTAAAATAAAATAAAAACAAGATACAAGTACACTATCCTTCTATAACTAAATGCTTTCTGTGGAGCCAATCCCCATTCTCTCCCTTTGCACTCCCCCAAAACCAGCCACTTTGGGTTCCTGCAGCATTGTAGACATACCTCTACCGCAGAGACTTGCAGTCTAGTGGAGAGGCAAATCTGCTGCTCAGTGTTTTAGATCAAGGCTCCCATATTGTCTCTGCACCATGTCTATATGTCAGTATTTAGCCCGAGCTACATTTCAAACAAATTACATTTTAATTCCCTCACACATACGCAATATATCAATTTAGGTAAGTTGCCATTGAGTTTCAGCCACCCTCATGTTCTACTCCTGTGGCCAAGATGCTGAAAACAGGTGACCAAAGTCACTTCTACTTGTCAACTGTTCAACTGGAATTCTGATGGACACTTAGTCTGGAAAGTTCTGTTAGTGTCTAAGACTGACAATGCCTCTCTCTGGAAGCATCTGTCTAGTATAAACACTTACACTGGCCAACCTGACCCTGAGGCCCCAAAGCACTGGTTTTTAAACTTACATGCAAAGAACGCCAATAGTCCACGTCTTACGTCCCATGGGCCACCCAACCCTGTTATTGTTCCTCCTTTCACATACTGTGTAACTCTCCTTTCTACCTTTGTCACGTCTCATGCTGCCCTAAGGCTCTCATAACCCCCTATTCAGAACCCTTATAACCAGTACGATGGCCCACCCTCACTTAACAGAGGCAGTCCCTATTTCTTAGCTGTGCCCCTCCACAATCTGCCACTACCTTCCTTATGCACCCCATCAGGAGTCAGATTCTCAGTCAACCTTGGAATAGGTGGTGGAGATCCAATAGAAGATCGGGCATCAGGAGACTTATTCAGGTACTGCGAATGGTTCAATATACACCTTGGACCTCATTCTCTTCTCTTATACCGAGAATAGTATCTACCTCAAAGGATTAATACGAAGGCTAGATGAATGTGAGTGCTTCATAAACCACAAAGACTATTAAGTATGAAGGGGAACTCCCCGAAAGAAAGTGGAATAGACTATTTGGTTCATACAGTTACTTGGTTATCGTTAACCTTACCCTTAAAAACTCTTCTTCATACCATTTTAGAAGTGAAAGGGCAAAAGCATTCCAATTCTATATTTGATTTTAATTTTTTTAAATAAATGTAGAACATAATGTTTATTTCCAGCTAAAGTGTTAAAACCTCTGTTGAAACTGCCCAATTCTCTTTGTCCCTCTAAGTGGAACACTGGTAAACAAGTGACCCCTGCTGGCTTACTGTCCATGAAGTGCTCACACATAACCTGGTGTAAGCCCAGAGTCTCCTCCCAACCAGAAGTAAGCAAAACAGATGCCCCCCTCTACAGACGGATACGCAGGAACACCGTGGATATGCCTCTGAGCTTTCAAGTGGGAAGCACCCCCACCGGTGGGACTGTACCAGTTCTAAACTCCCCACCCAATTCTCATTGCACCACTTGCCACAATCACAAAGAGCTGAGCTGCTAACTTCTAAACCACAGCTACATCTTTAGCTAGGAATAATGCTCGCTTGTTTGCATTTAATTCCCAAAAAACAAGCTTACGTGGAGTGCTTCTGCCATGCGAAGGTACTTGTTCTCCTCAGTGGTAAGGCCCTTGTGGGGTGTATAGCCAGCATCTCTCAGCCCTGCCTGTTGCTCAAAACGCTGAATGCTCTCCTGGGTCTGTTCTGGAAGAGAGATGACAGTCATGCCCATTCCCCCTCCCATCACAATCAGGAAGCTCAACACAGACCTCTCTTGTTCTCCTCATAAGGGGAGACCACCCCAGGGTGGGTTTCGTCCAGAGAGGCATCGCAGCAGTAATTCTGAACCTTACACGAAGGTCCTCTAACTAGAGGAAGCCTTCCCTCACACCAAGCTAAAGCGTACACACATCACTCTGTTGTAAGGCAATTATTACCTCAATAAAAAATAAAACAATTTTATTTTTAAAAAAGCCAATAAAGTACTAAAATTAAGTCATGCCTAAAGGAACAGTCAGTTAACCTCCAGGGAAATACTCCTTTCCTTCCTCTTATTTGTACACTGGGCATTTTCTTTGAATTCAGAAACGCAACATGGAGAAGGCCGCTGGCATGGAGAAATAATGTAAAGTTTCCTGGGAGAGACTCACCATCCTCAGCACCCACATAAAGACCTCAGCCAAAGACAAATGGGCCATATTTAGGCAGCATTGACACCAAGATTCTACCCACAAAAGGAGTCAAACCGCAGAGAACTGACCTTGAACTAGCTGTGGTCTCCTGGTCCACGTTTCTGGTGTGTGAAACAGCCCGTCAGTGCCTGGCATAGCAGGCAGTTTCCAGTCTTGTCAGCCTGACCTGATTATCTCATAATCCATACCTCAGTTATACCCTGGAAGGACTGACAGCTGAATTTTGGCTTAATTTGTATGTCCAGTACATAATTCACCCATACATACAGGAATGTGGCAGCTAGACACCAGATGTCCTTTATGACTTGGTCATTCCCCTTTGAAGGAACTGTCTTATTTCCATCAGAAATAGAAGCAAAGAAAAAATTATATATATAAAGGCATGAAGATCTCTTCCAGTCCTACCAGACAGGATTTGAAAATTTACAGAGCAGGAAAGAACTGACAAATTACAGCACACCAATACGAGAATTTTAAAAGCAACTATTTCTTTAAGACTATAGCAATATCGGGCCTCCATGGTGGCGCAGTGGTTGAGCGCTGGGCTGTGAAGCTGCTTGCAGCCTCTGCAGCGCTGGTTCGATCCCTGGCCGCCAGGCGAGGGTCCCACATGGCGCGCAGACCTCTCCTGCCGCCCGCTGCTCCCCTCAGCAGTGTGCTTCGGTCCTTCTGCCTGCTCTGCTCCCCACTCTGGCTCTGGTGAATTCTCTCACCCTCCCGCACTTCTGACTGTACCCAGTGCATGTATAAACAAAACAAACAAACAAACAAATAAATAAATAAACATGCCTCTATTTAAAAAAAAAAAAAAAGACTATAGCAATATCAGATGTTCATAGCAGTTCTAACTAAAAAGCAAAAACAAACCAAAAAAAAATAGTATTTCTACTATATTTGCAGTTACATAAAAATATACATGTTTGTGCAAGTGAATAAGCCAAATAAGTATCTGAGTGACAACAGTACAGTGGGGTGCTGTAATATTCTCTACTGCTGGTAAACTATTTTCAAGAAGGCAGTTCTACTGTACCAAGAGAACAATAACTAAGATTTCCAACACTATCAATAGAAAATATTCTGAAGCTTGCAAAATACAAGTAGTTGGTGCAAAAGAGAAAGTTGTTAAGAGTTTGGACGTCTGTGCCCAAGACAAGCTGATGCCCTCCCAGAGCCAATAAACAAATGCTTCCGACTGAAAAGAGCCAACCAGGAGACCTCTCTGTGCCCTGCCCCGCAGAGACTACTGCTTGAGCAGAGCCACGTATCTGATATTGTTAACTTCCCACATGATCTAGAAAGTACCTCCAGAACTAACAAACTTAGTTAACTTGTGATAAAGTTTACAAAAAAATACAAGTTGTCTTGTGTTAGGTCTCATTAGGACCACAAATCACACATTCTTAAGACTAAAGACACTTGAGGGGCCAAACCTGCCTCAAGGGCCACTAAGAGAACAACTATGAGCTGTTAATTTAGGGAGAAAAAAATGCAGGGCAGGTGGGTAATGCCTCAGTGTGAGTGGGGCCTTCTCCAGCACCTGGGGCATCGACTCCAACCTGCAGCCATACTCCTATTATGACCAGACAAAAAGTCTTGAGAGTAAAGTAACTTGCCTAAGGCCACACAGGTGGGTAGCGAAAATAACAAAGTAGCAGGAATGCCTCTAGGTCAAACAAGATGCTTTAATGTTTGGCAACTCTTCCCACCTGAATGGTGGAAGCCAGGCTGTTCACAGAATCCACAGTCCGACTGCAGAGGCCCAAGCTCTTCCCCACCCCAACAACACTCTATTCTGAGGGTGAAGAATGCTTACTTGTGATCAGAGAATTCATGATGACGTGGGTAGCTTTAGCCTTCACCACGGGGACCTTGTCCACACTGCCAGGGGCCGGTGACAGGGTTATGGCAGGGGAGGAGACGCTGGCCCCTCCTTCCTCCACCTGTTCAAGAAAGGGAAGGAGGCACTTGAGCAGCGCAAGGGAGTCACACAACCAAACTTACTTCTCTGAGAAGTTACTGATAACTTTAATGTCATATATGAGGAGGAGGGGGTCATCTCCACCTGATTAAATAGTGCTACCAATAAAGACATTATATGAATAAGCTTTATAAAAGTAGCAAAGCCAGACCTTAGAGCTCTGGGTCTACTTCCTTCCCAGCCTCTGCCCAATACCCCAAAACTACACTGTGGCCCAGGGAACACAGAAGAAACACTCCCTGCAAAGTGAGCACAGACCGTGCACCAGGACTGTGGTGTTTGCCATGCAGTTCTCACACTCTCTGAGCATCAGAACCCCTGGAAGGGGATAAAACAGACTGCCAGGCCCCACCCTGGAGCTGAGTGGTAGCTCCAGGGTGAGACTGAAAAACTTGTTTCTAATAAATCCCAAGGTGATGCTGATGCTGCTGTTCCCAAGACCACACTTTGAGAATTAAGCCTTCAAGTAATGGTCTTAAATAGTCTTTAAAAAAAAAAAAAATCGACATAGCTCCCAATCCTTAAGGTGAGAGAGCGGAAAGCTGCCACTTGCTGGACTGTTAACACCCACCATGCTCAGCACTGGCAGGGAGAGGATGGAACGAACTGGCTTTATTCTTCGCTCTCTGCTTCTCCAAGGGAATGAGAAAGAAATATGGCCAGAAAGGAGGGCAGCAGGGGAGGTATTTAAATGATCCCTGTTACAAAATACGGTTTACACTTTTCAGCAGCGTTTACTGGAGTCACACATGAGCCTCGGCTTCCTCACTTGGAGCATAGTTGATTCCTAATGCAGGGTGAGTAGGGGCAAATGAAAGCAGGCATGTGATGAGGCGAGCTGGGTGTCCTTTGAGAGCAACTGTTCCAAACCGTCAGCTGTTTCAGCCAGGGCACCACAGAACACTGGAAGGCAGGCTTTGTCTCGTGAAGCAAGCACATCCTTTAGAACTGAAAAGGGTGCCCCTCCCAGCGCCAGCACCAGCCTTGTTCATCTGCTCTGGCATCACAGGCGGGCTGCTGAGGCCTCTTCTCGCATAGCCAGTACTTTTTTTTTTTACACAAAATGTTTTCTCCTCAACAACTGACAGGGTCAGATTTCAGTAGGTAATTGATATAGAGGCTGCTTTCGTGGAAAGGAGCTTCCTGTTCTGAGACTTGAAGGGGGTGGAAGGTGAGGTGTCGCCTCATTAGAAAGGAAGGATCAAATAAAGCCCCACCAAATGAAAGTTAGGCTGGGAGCCGAGCTCATCATGTCAGCCAAGCCTTTTACTCCTCAGCTAATCCCACACCCCCTCCATGACATAAAGTAAATCTCCATGTCATGTCAGAGTTGGAACTGTGTGCCCTGGGTCACAGATAGTACAAGGACCTTCAGAGGATTCACACCCAGGTCTCTCAGAAAATGCTTATCACACAGTTCAGTCGGCCCTGAGCTGTCCTGCAGCTCAAAGTTCAGTGAAATTGTAATGGCAAGTTAAATGGCCTCATCTGAACTTGGCAGGCCCAGTGCATTCCAGCAACAGGACAACCTTTCTTGCATTTCTGGTAGAGGGGCAGAGGTAAGAAACACAGGCCCCACAGTCAGGAAGCATAGGCGTCAGTAACATGCCCACTACAAGCTGTGAGCACCTATGGAGCCAAACTGCACCAAAGGGCTGTGAGAACAGGTCACTGTGTAAGGAGGCGTGCACACGTGCGTGTGTGTATGTGTGTGTGTAAAAGCACCAGGAGGGGCCTTAGAAAGGAGGCAGCAGCAGTGAGAAAAGGCATCTAAGGCAGAAGGGACAGCATAAGGAAAAGCACAGCTTGTGTTCAAAAAAGAAACCATTTTCCCTCACTCACTCAATGAACATGTTTTTGGACTCTACTTTACACCAAGTCCTCGGCTAGCTACTGCAGAAAGAGTACAAAACTGAACATGGCCCCTGCCTCCAGAAGCTGGTGGAAGGCAATCAAGTAATGGGATGATGACAGAGGCCCATGGTACTGTGGAGAGCTCAAAGGGAGAGGGCACAGTCTGATGGGAGGATGGAGGTAAATGCTCACTGAAGTGAGCTAAGACTTACAGGTAACTATCTGTCAGGCAATGGAAAGGGAGGGGGTGGGAGAACAGGATGGGATTGCAAACATTGCAGGCAAGTGGAACATTGTGAAGGAAAGTCACAGAAGCAGAAAACACCCTCAAATGCAAGAAATCTTAACGCATATGGTTGGGTCACTAGGCAGAGGGCGGGGGAGTGGCAGAAAAGAAGCTTGGATTTCATGCAATGGGAAATTGGTGGTGGGGTGCGCTACAGAAAAGTCTCAGTAAGAGAGAACAGGTCATTCTAGTTTTAAATTAAAAAGAAAAAGACTGTACCAACTGTTACTGAGACAGAAAACATATATACAGGACTGGTGGCTGCCCAACTCTCTGGATGCTGGGTGCCACTGAAGGCTTCCGGAGCCAAGGAAGGAGAAGGAAGGGACAGGACTTGCCAGAAGCAGTCAGCAGGGTGAGATACCTTGGCGAGGTCCTGATACTTGCGCTCTGGAATCACGGGCTTCCAGGGGATGCTGCCCATGTCCGATGGAGGAGGGGTCATGGGCGTAGGGTCCTCCAGGGCATCATCATAGCTGAATGCCCGGCGGTGCATCCCGATTGGCAGGGACATCTTGCCTAGAGGCCCGTTAGGCTCAAGAGCTAAGAACAGAGACACTTGTCAGGATGGCTTCAGCAGCTCAAAATAAATGCACCTCCAAACTATAAGCAGGAAAGTTCTGAAAGCTCTTTATCTAGAACAAGGCAACAGTTTGTTCTGGAATAGCTAATCCATTCAAGAGAAGGTAAGGGTACTAAGTCCCTTCTCTATGCCTGATACTTTGGACTCTCCACTTAGCCCACTCAGTGGCTCACATTCATTTTTATGAATTAGAAAACCCAAGTTCAATTTAAATTTACTTGCAAGATCACACAACTCAAAGTGCAATTTGGAATAAAAATCTAAGCTGATAGGATTTCAAAGCTTATGTCCTTTATGGTACTGAAGCCAGCCCCTGGCAGTGCCAGGGCTCTCAATTCATGTAAGACTGAGGATAGGAAGTTACTATTCCCATTTTAAAGATGAGGAAACGAAGGCCAGAGGGGAGTGAGCTCATATAGAGGGTAGCCAAGTGGGTCTCAACAAGATCTGACTGCAAGTCCTCTGCCTTCCCTAACTCACCAGAGGGAAAAAGAGTTTTATAAGAAAGATTTAAAACAATATGTGGTCCCACCATCATCTCTAGTTTGAAGTGTTCTAGAAACTAGTTCAAGTATGGCCTGAACAAAGCCAATTTCCATTACAGAAACTGTTGACAACCACCTTCACGAAGCAGTGCCAGCTGATCCTGCCGTTCCTGTCCCCTGGCACTGACAGAGGAACAGCCCTGCTGTGACGCAGGTGCCCCACTTCAAGGGCACTCTCAGTACTGCCAGACCAGCATGCCAAGTCCATTTTGTTTGGTTGGCTAATCCTTTCACAACAGCACTAACATCCAGATCCTGCCTTCAGGGGGACATTTTCCTGTTGCTAAAGTTAAGACAATCACCCTCTCCAAGGCATCAACTTGCAGGGCAGTAAGTCCCAGACCAGCAAAGACACTTCATTTAAACAGGCAGGGAACCCACAAAACTACCATTATTACTACTGATATTAATAATGACTATAAATCCATAGAAATAGAAATAGGATGAGAGGTTGCCAGGGGGAGAAAGAGGCGTGACTGCTAAAACGTACAAAGTTTTATTTTGGGGGAAGGAGTGTGATAAATATGTTCTATAATTAGGTGATGACAGTTGCACAACCTTGTGAATATACTAAAAAACACAAAACTGTTCACTTTAAATGGGTGAGTCATTTCAATTAAAACAAACACACACACAAAAATAAGGACTAAGTACCCTTCCTTGCCACACACCTCCCTCAACTTGCCTAATCCTCATTAAGCAGATACCCTTCCCGTTTTTCCAGCGCGGGAAAATGAGGTGCAGAGCTAAGTGACACTCGGACACTTAAGCCTCGAGCATGCGCTGGGGCCAGGACAAATCTCCATGCCACTGCTTGCACTCTACAGTCACGCATCACTTAACGACAGGGACACATTCTGAGAAATGTGCGTTAGATCTTGTCGTCATGCAAACATCACAGGGTGTTATGACACAAACTAGATAGTGTAGCCTCCTACACACCTAGGCTTTGTGGGATAGCCTTTTAGGACCACCGGTGTATATGCTGCCCGTCACTGACCAGCAGTTACTAAGCAACCCGTGACTGTACAGGCGACACTCCATGCTCGCCACACTACAGGAAGTTGACCTAGTGAGTGTGAGCTTCTAGCCAGGTAGTTATAGCGAGTGCATGGTAATCACAACAATGAAGGACAAACTAAAACACAAACTGATGATGTGAGAGACTTGGGATGGATCCACATGAGGTGACAGGGGAAGGACTTCTCTATTAATCCACTGAATTTAGGAACAATTTCAAAAACATGTTCCCAACAGCCATCTTCATAGCCTTCCGCAAAAATAATAATAAAGTCACCTAATACATATACTAAGAAATCCACTTCTACAAATAGGGACCAAAAAATCTGGTGGGAAATAAGTATATATTGATCACTTTTAACTCACGTTTTCACAGATTTTATGAATAATTTTCACAATAGCCCTGAGAAACAGGCATAGTCTCTTTATTGTGAATCAAAAATTGAATGATTCATATTTCATTAAAAATTACTGGCCCCTCCAACTAAAATACCCCTGGGTGGTGTCAGTGACTGCAGTAACCCAACACTGACTCAGGACTCATTCAGCATTGCTGTGAGCATATTCACGACTGCCAAGTTTTATCTGCCTTCCAGTCAGGCTGATACCCTCTTTGCTCAGACCTCCACTGCCCTAGCTCCTACCCCTTCCAAAAGGGGTGGGAGGAGGTGACACTAATATTTTGGTACAAATTAGAAGAACTACAAAACTTATTCAGAATTCTTATTTGAAACCTGTAGGAAAGTGATAAACATGTCATATCTGTAAGTGAAACGATTCTTCTCTCTCAAGTTAGGTTTTGGGTTCCTACCCTAACTGGGTGGTTAATAAGATAATATTTAAATTAAGCCAATCTATTAAATCTAAATACTCGCCTGGTGACAGAGAGTAACCATTAAGACGTGGTTCAGAAAAAGTGCTTTCTATTTAACTTAAAATATTAAGGGCAAGACACAACTTTACCAATAAGAATTTTTACCAGGCACTTCTGGTTGTCTTGAAGCCATTGAAAGACTGGAATCCAGATGCTTTTCCTATATAGAATTCGGAGTTGAGTCCCTGCCACCTAATAAAAATAACAAAGGGCATTTTCTTATAGCAAACACCAAAGAATAGCTTCAATGCTATTCTTTTGACAAGCACACAGATTTTCTGGCTTGCTGACAAGGCAAAGACACACATTAAGGGCCAATGGGTGACAAACATGCCAACAGGGGCTGATCCTAACACCTGTGATATGACAAAGATACTACATGGAAAAAAGGTCACCTTACCAGTGAAATGATGTGACGATTATGCCGACAGACAGATATTAATGAGGAACATTGTCCAGCTGATGCAAATTAGCAAAGCGGCTTGGGAAGAGTCCATCCATTCCAGAAATTCTAGTAACAACAAACAACCAGCATGATACAGGCCTCCAGAGTCTGCCAAATGCCTACCTGTACGTTTGAGGTATTCCCCCATAACAACCTTGCAAAAGGTATACTCACTTCATTTTTAAGTAAGTTAGGGTGTAGGGTCCAAATACATTGAGCTATACAAGAAGTTAGATAACAGCAGGCAATTTTGCTAATACTGACAGTTCTTAAGGGGTTTATACAAAACTCACCTTGTGTTTTAATCCTTGCAGCAACACTGCAAATCAGACAATACTTACCCCCAATTTAAAAAATAAGAAACTAAAAATCAGGAGTTAAGTGATTTATCCAAGGTCACAGCAAAAAGGAATGGCCACTGGCAAGGCAGGTAGCTGCCCACTCCCCACTCCCAATTTTACAGGGTAATGAAATTTAAGTCCTGAGGAAGGCAAGTTATAATGCTTTCAAACTTGATAGGCTGCCTCTCTATCCTGATTTAGCTCAGAGGACACACTAGTTATTTCTTTATTAAAGGGTATCACAGAGGGTCTCCCTGGTGGCACAAGGGGTTAAGCATCGCACTATGAAGCAATCCGCAGCCTCTGCAGCTTGAGTTCGATCCCCCGCCAGCCAGGGAGCTACCCACATGGCGCAGCAGACCTCTCCTGACTCTCCCACTGCTCCCCTCAGTAGTGTATTTCAATCAGTCTGCCTGTTCTGCTCCCTGCTCTGTTTCAGGTGAGTCCTCTCACCTCCCGCATCTGTGGCCTGTACCCCAGCTCTTGTATGCATAAATAAATAAATCTTAAAAAAAAAGAAAGTGCTCTTCTTTAAAAAAAAAAAAAAAATGGTATCGTAGATACCAAAGTTACGCCATCCACCTGGTCCACGGAGCATTCCAGACCCAGATCCTCTTCTACTTTCCCTTCCCGTATCGGTCCCTTCCCCCCCCCCCCCCCCCCGCAGAGTGCAACCATCTTCATCACAAGATACAAGACAAAGCCACCAGGATTTTAAACACCGAGTCTGAACCAACCCTCACACCTCCCCGAGGATAAGACAGATTAAAGAGATCAGTGCCGGGGCAAGATACAAAGAGAAGGTTCCCTGAGAGCTGGGCAAAGCAGAAATTTTAAGGGGAGCGATAGGGGTCTCCGGCTAAGCTGATCTGACGATTAAGTAAAGGGAAAGCGGGGTGAGCGACAGCAGGGACGTCAGAGAGGACCCCCACTGGAGGACCCCCAGAAGGCTGGACAAGAGTGGCAAGGGTGGATCTGGCCGAGCTCCGTGCCAGGGTGAGAGGGGAGAGGCGAGGAGAGGCGGCCAGCGAGGGCCTCGCGGGAGGGGCCGGGGCACCCCCTTAGGGGCTGGGGGCTCAGCCAGGGAGGGCCGGCCCGGCCCTGCCCCTCAGGTTACCTGTTCTTCCGCCGCCGCGGAGGTGCTTGCTGCTGGGCTCCAAAACTAAAGATGTTCCGAAGACCCCCGTCTCCCGTGACGCTGTGGTGCAGTCGGGACCCAAGCCATGGCTAAAGCGTCGCAGCGCGCGGGGCAACGCTACAAGTCCCGGCACCGGCCAGGAACACTGGCTGCCGGACTCGCCGGCAGCCTCCCTGATAAAGCCTCCGAGACCGGTCACATCACGCGAGACTTGGCCGGAGCGGGGGGGGGGGTTGTGCTCAAGGTATGCTGGGAATTGTAGTCCGCGATCTAAAAGGGCCCAGGAACTTTGCTGCCTAAAGGATTTACAAATATGGCAAAGCAGTACATTTGAGAAAATGAAAGGTGTTTTTTGTTTTCTTTTCTTTTTTTGTCGATTTACCCATATTTCTGCAGTATGTATAAATCTTGCCATCAAGGCTCATCTCCGAGGGGCTATGGAGTTTGGGTGTACACTTCATTTAGATTTCGGTGGTTGACGCCTGTCAGATCCACTGGAAGGGCAGAGGCTTTTCTCCTGCAACTTTAAATTTTAGTGTCATTACCTACTATATCACACCAATTCAGTGTGATATTTGATATTCTTAAGTATTTTATAAATTCTATCATTAACTTATGAGAAGCACAATTCCATAGCATTGTGATTGTGTGTATGTTAAAAGTATTACTTTGTTAATTTGGAACTTTTAAAATACACCATAATTTTTTACCCTCTGTGCACGTAAATCTGACACCTTGTCCTCTTCCATCCCAGTCAGAAGGAAAAGAAACTTTATACTCTTAATCATATTAAGACAGGATCACCTTGCTTTGTTCTTATCCCCAAGAAATGTAAACAGAAGAATTTCCCGGAAATTACTGACTCTCTGGCCAAAAGGACTTAATCCCTTTCTCGGTACCTATATGTAAAACCATGACATGATTTTGGCATGTAGTAGCCATGTGAGAAAAGTGCTGTTTTCCACAAATTACAAACTAATTGTAACCTTTAAACCTTCACAACCTTATGAGGTTTTCCCCTTTATGTAAGTGCTGTGCTGTTTTCTTGGTTTGGGGGCTTTTAGGGAGCTATTTCTTCTAAACTCTGAAACCCCTCAAAAGTCTTCTTTGCCAGGAAATACTTTTCTAAATGGTTTGGTTGCATAACCAAAAAGGATTCAGGTAGGAACAACTGAATCCGTGAGACCAAGAAGGACACCCTCTGTGCTATTTGAGCTCAGACTATTTTTCACAGCTCCCTGGGTGGATTCCTTTTGGCATTAGATGTTCCTCTCCACCCTCTTTTCTGTGCTTTTTTTCTGACTCTGGTTTTGCCTCTTAAGCCTGTTTTGTACAACCACTTTACTTCCCCAAGGATCGCAGCACCATTTGGAAGTTGGTTTTTGAGGTCAGACTGTATGGTTATTGCTCAGGAACAGACAACAGTCTAGGAACATTGTGTGTGGCTGACCAAGGAACTTGGTTGCCTTTTTGAGTATGTACAACATACATTTAAGGAAACTAACATTCTAAATGCATTTGGTTATTTTTTTAAAGATTTATTTATTTATGCATACAAGAACTGGGGTACAGGCCAGAGGTGTGGTGGGTGGGTAAGAGGATTCACCAGAGTGGGGAACATAACAGGCAGACTGACTGAAATTCACTGCTGAGGGGAGCAGTGGGTGTGTCAAGAGAGGTCTGCTGTGCCATGTGGGTGCCTTCCTGGCCAGGGATCAAACTCGTGCTGCAGTGGCTGCAGGCAGCCTCATAGGTTGCATCTTAACCCCTTGCACCACCAGGGAGATCCCTAAATGCATTTGTCTCTGAATTATCTTTTTGCACCTCCTTGGACATTTTAAACTTTGATAAACTTGGAGCCTCAAAAACTGAACTTGACCAGAGTCTCTCTTACATCCACCTTGGACACCCAAATCATCCTGCATTTCCATTTCATAGGGGAGGGGACTGGGAGTGGGACTGAGTTCTGCCCACCTGCCTTCCTCTGGACATTTGCCCTCTCTAGTCTCGGAAAGATCCACTCCTTCAACAGATCTGCCAATGTCCTCAGGAACAATCAGCAACCAGGAACTTGGTCACTGGGATGGTAGCGGTGTTGATTTGCATTTCTCTAGACTGGTAGTTCTTATCTGGAGCCCGTCCCCCTATATCATCACAGATAGGGTGTTCCACCTAGTCCTGCTCAGGAAATGTCCTTTCGGTTGGTCACTGGACAGCAGAGAAAACTAACAGGGGGACCTTGGCAAAGGTACCTCAGCCAGGAAGTGGCAGAACTGAAATTCAAAGCCAGGACTGATTGCTCCACTGATAGTTTGGCTGCTGATTGTCCGTGATCTCACTCAGTTTCTCCTCTTTAACTTTCCTAGCAAGAGGGTTGAAGGCACATGCCAAAGAAAAAGCTACATATAACACCTCCCTCTAGTGGCAAGGGGAAAAAATTTCACTGAAGAAATAGAGGATGTTGTTGGTAGAGACCTACTCCATCCTGATAACAGAGATGGTGCAATTAAGGTGCAGAGAACTGAAGGAACAAGGCCAACGTCGCACAACTAGTCTGGGGCAGTTGATTAGACAGAAAATTTATTCTTGGGCCTCCCTGGTGGCACAGCAGGTTGAGCGCAGCGCTGTGAAGCTGTCTGCAGTCTCTGCAGCGCCAGTTCGGTTCCCAGCCTGCCACGAGATTCCCACATGGAGTAACAGACCTCTCCTGTCTCTCCTGACCTCTTCTGTCTTGCCCGCTGCTCCCCTCAGCAGTGTTTTCGGTTGTCTGCCTATTTTGCTCCCCGCTCTGTCTCTGGTGAATTCTCTTGCCCTCATGCACCTCTGGCCTGTACCCCAGATCTGGTATAAATAAATAAATCTTAAAAAAAAAAAAAAAGGCATTTGTGAGGCAGTATGAGTACATATTGTTTAAAAAAAAAGTGTTCTTGTGTCTTACTTTGTGTCAAGCACTTTGCTCGTTGTATGGTATTCACTGAGGAAAAGACACAATCTCTGTTAAGGCTCAACTGTGTCCTCCCTAAATTCATGTGACAAGTCCCAACCCCTAGTACCCCAGATTGTAACAGTATTTGGAGACAAGGTGGTTTTTTTTCCCACCACCACCCACTATGCCCCCTTAACCTTTTCACCCTCCTCCCTCCCTCTTAACTTCAGAACCCTTACTTCATTTATTAGTACTCGTTGAGTTTTATAAGTATTCTTATAAAACAAGGTATTTTTCTTACTCAAACAGTTCACTATGTAAACATCCAATATTTGTCATTTCATTCTGATTTGCTTTGCTCCACATAATTCCCTGGAACTCCTTCCATTTTTCTGTGCCTGGAAACATTTCCTCTTTCTTTATGACTGAATTATACTCCATGGTACAGATATAGCACACCTTCTTGATCCAACCCTCTATGAGTGGACACGTAGGTTGTTTCTGTACCCTAGTTTTTGTAGATAATGCTGCAGTAAACACTGTACAGCATGGGAATTTTTTGAGTTGATGGTTTCATGTTCTTCCATTGGGTGCCCAAAAGTGGGATTCTGGGTCATAAGTTCTTTCCATTTTCAAGTTGTTTTGTTTTTAAAGATTTATTTATGCATACAAGAACTGGGATAGGGGTGAGAGGATTCACCAGAGACAGAGTGGGGAACAGAACAGGCAGATTTACTGAAATACACTGCTGAGGGGAGCAGCTGAGAGTCAGGAGAGGTCTGCTGCGCCATGTGGGTTGCGCCCTGGCCACGGATTGAACTCATGCTGTGGTGGGTGAGGATAGCTTCATAGGTTGCATCTTAACCCCTTGCACCACCAGGGAGGCCCCTGTTTTGACTTTAAGATTTATTTATATATACAAGAACTGGGGTACAGGCCAGAGGTGTGGGGGAGGGGGAGGAGTGAGAGGATTCACCAGAGCCAAAGCGGGGAACAAAACAGGCAGACTGACAGAAATACACGGCTGAGGCGAGCAGTGGGCCAGTCAGGAGAGGTCTGCTGCAGTGGCTGCAGATAGCTTTGTGGGTTGCATCTAAACCCCTTGCGCCACCAGGGAGGCCCTCTGTAGCACAACCAACCCATACTGGGTAGGTTCATTACTGGTTCTAGCAGCCATGTTGGTGTCTTCATGCTCTCCGCCGTTCATCGCCGCACTCCGTTGCTCTCTGCCACTCTCTGCCGCACACCTCCGTCCACTCCACTGCACTCCTCCATCCTCGGCACTGCACCGCACTGTGCCACACCGCACCACGCCACACCACACCACGCCACGCCATTTGGCCAAGTGCACATGTGCGGTGGGAGGGTGGGAAAGCCTGAAGCTTTTCCCCCTACTTACCCCACAATCCACCCACTCAGGGTTTTCCACCATACAGTCTATATACAAGTATAAACAAGTTTCCTTTAACAAACATAAACACTGCAGCCATGGCTCACAAAACAAACAGTATACATCACAATATAACTAAGTTCAATTCTCCTAGGGGTAGAAAGATAAAGAAGTTTTTGGTACCAGCAATGGGAGACACCTCCCATCTGGCAATATACATGCCAATATTGTAGTGGGCATCAGTGGCCTTCTAGGTTGTGAGTACCACACTCACTTTGCCAGCGAAGAGACATCAGAGGGCTCTATATGTAGCAAGAGTGGAAAGCTCATAATAGGCCACAGAGTCATCACAAATGTCCCTTTTAGGATTGCCTTCTGATCTGCCACCCCAGGGTGGGTAACACGCACCTGGGGCAGCCACTGTACAGTCACCCATGGTGTTATTTGTAAATTGGCCTCCAGGCCACAACCCCAAGGGGCTATCAGAGCCACCCAGTGCATGTGGGGAGCATTCACAGTCCAGGGCCATTTCCAGTCCACAGTCTGCCCTGGGTCCACTCCAGTCGGGGCTGGTAATAAAATGTTGCCCTGCTGTCCAAATCCAGGCTTTAACAAAATATCCGAAGTTTGTATCTGCAATTGGATGGGAGCAGCGGCACAATGCAGCAACGCCTCCACTGGATCCAGGCCTCCTTTCCTGCTCCTCTCTTTAGTGCTTGTAGCACGTCCCACAGATGTGGGCTCCAACCAGCCAGCGTCAGAGTGGGGGCAGTAGCTTTCAGCCCTTGCTTTAGCAGTCTGTTATAAGGTTCAGTGGTCCCTGCAGTTTTGGGATTATAGGGAATGTGAAACTTCCATTCAACACCATGTCCTTGGCCCACTGCTGCACCCGGGCTCCTGTAAAATGAGTCCCTTGGTCGCTCTCCACTACCAGCAGACATCCATATGCAGCACATAGGTGTGCCAGTGCTGTCAAAACTGCCTTTTGGTCCACATGTGGAGCAGGATAGGTTGTCAATAACCCGGTAGCAGTGTCCACACAGGTGACCGCATACTGTTGTCCATTGAAGTGAGCTAGTGGTCCAATGTCAATCTGCCAGCATGTCAGGGGTACCTGCCCCTGCAATACCTGGACTGTGGATGTAAAAGGTCTCCAGGGGTAAGTCCTGGAACACACTACACATTGTTCACAAATAGTTTGACCTTCCTCTAAAGCGACAAGTAGACCCCAGGCATGCACAGTGGCCCACATTGTCTTCTGCCCTGCATGGAGCAAGTGTCTGTGCAGCCACTGCACAACATCCCACCCCAGAGCAGTTTCAAGCCATCAAACCTGGGCTAGGGTATCTGCCTCATTGTTGCCTGGTGAGGCCAATGGGGCATGTCCTGTGACATGATAAACAGTCACCTGCTTCTGATGCCCTAGATCCTATATATCCTTCCATAGGGCCTGGCCCCAAAATGGCCAATGCATGACTGTCCATTCATTTAGATTCCAAGTGGAAATCCACAGTGTCAGGCCCCTGTACACAGCCCAACTGTCAATACAAATTACTACCAGGGAGGGCTCATGGGCCACCACCATCCATACTGCTCGCAGTTCAGCCCATTGGCTGCTCTGTCCTATCCCAGTTTTAAGCCAATAGTATCCGTTTCTGGGTGTACAGCCACAGTTGTCCAAGATGCTGGCTGGCCCCAGCTGGAGCCTTCTGTATAACAGGCCTCTGCTGGAACAGTGCCCATCCCTCTTTGTAGGGACTAGTTCCAGGTTCAGCTTCAACACAGGCTTCTGAAGTGGGTTCCATAGTGACATACATCCCCGGACCAAGAACCTCCTGCAACTACGCCCTTAAGGGGCTAGTTGACACAGTGCAGTGCTGTTCTAGGTATGCCCCCCCCCCCACTTCACCAAGGTGAGTGTTTGAGCAGTACCACTATGGGGCTTTGTTGTCCAGTCCCGTACCCATCCAGCTATTGGGTAGGTGGTTCTCACTGAGGCAGGGGCTGTGGCAGTTATACTTTCTGTGGCTAGTAAGGCTGCATATACCGCAGCTAACTGTTTCTCAGTTAAGGAATACCTAACCTCAGCCCCCTTCCAGAGTTGGGAACAGAACCCAATAGGCTATCATAGCCTCTCTGATTTCTGCCAGAGTCCCCACCTGAACCCTTCCTGAGTAACATGCACATCGAGCTCACGGGGTCAGGCTGGGTCAAAAACCTGCAAAGCCTGAGCAGTCTTTATAGTTTGTTTGGCCATGGCAAATGATGCGTCTGCCTCAGCTGACCAATCCCACCTGGACCCCTTACGTATTAACATATACAAGGGTCGTAGGAGCTGGGCCATGTGAGGTATCAATGCCCTCCAGTAACCCAGCAGGCCCAGAAAGGCTTGCAGCTGCTTCACTGTGGTTGGAGTGGGATAAGCTTGCACTTTATCTATTACAGCATCAGGGATAACTTTTGTCTTACCGCACCAAACAACTCCCAAGAACTTAACTGACAGTCCAGGGCCCTGCAGTTTGCTTTTGTTGATTGCCCAGCCACATGTTTCAGGTGTGTCAATAGAAGAGGTACTGCCTTTTCCAAATCTGCAAGAGAGTCAGTAGTCAATAAAACATCATCAATGTAATGATACAAATGCACTAAAGATGGCCTCTCCCATTGAGCCAGATCTGCTGCCACCAGCCCATGGCACAGGGTAGGGCTGTGCTGGTATCCCTATGGAAGCACAGTAAATGTCCATTGCCAGCCTTCCCACGTGAAGGCAAACTGGTCTTGACTCTCTGGAGCTATATCTATAGGGAAAAAAAGCATTTGCCAGATGGGCCACAAAATGATACATGCCTAGCTCATGGCTGAGAAGATCCATCAAGTCTACCACTGAAGGCACTGCAGCATGCAAGGGGGGAACTACCTTATTTAATTCACGATAATCTACTATCATGCACCAAGAGCCATCGGGCTTCCTCAGCAGCCACACGAGCAAATTGTAGGGGCTGTGGGCCGAATGAACAATGCCCACTTTCTCCAATTCTGATATTGTGCCCGTAATTTCCTTGTGGCCTCCAGGCAATTGATATTGCTTGGTATCAGTCATTAACCTAGGGACTGACAGTTGTATGGGAGGATGCTTAGCATGTCCTCTCACCACTGCCTTTACCACACGCACTCTAAGGTGAAACTCTCCGGCTGTGGTCTCTAGCCATAAGCCACATAGTACATCCACCCCCAGGATGTACTCCGGGATGGGCGATACATATACTTTATACTCTTTTGGGGGTAAACACCCAATCCCCAGGGACAGTCTCACTGCTGTCACCTTGACACTCTGGCCTCCACAGCCATCAACGTAACAAGCAGACCCTTGAAATTTTTCTGGATTTCCATAGAGCAGAGTACATTCTGCTCCTGTGTCTACCAAAGCCAAAACTCTTTGCACGTTAGTTGGGGACCAGTGGATGGCAAGCTCCAAATGTGGCCTCCAGTCCCTGCCCTGCCTCTGTGGACAGGTTCCTTGGCCCTCACCCTACTTGAAAGTGATCAGGCCATCGCCCAAGGATGGGGTCAGCAGCAAGTAGTCTTCCAGGCGCAGGGCATGTGCCTGAGGCCTGAAGCTTCCAGGCTTCCCCTTAGCAGCAGCCCTTCTCACGGACATGAACCTCTGGGCTTCTTGCAGCTGCTTCCGTAATTCTAACAAATATGCATTGGGCTTCGCATTTATTTTAGTGTGATCTACACCTGCTCTCGCTATATCTGTCCACATTTGGTTATGGGTAACTTTAACAGGTTCTGTCATGCCAAGAGGCTTCTTTGCCCTCCTTGGCATTCCTTTTGATTGTTCAACAATTACCTGTATTCCTTTCTGAGTTTGAGAGCGCCGGCTCTCGACTTCACCCCAGCTAGCTATCATTGTGACATCGTTTATTTGATGTCCCACATAGGGTGCTGGAACTGCCGTGAGGGATCCAAATGAGGATGAGGGGGCACTCTTTAATACCAAGTCTCTCATCCCTGCTGTGAAACACTCATCGTCAGGACCACAAGTGTTCACATTGAACATGGCCTGCCGCATACCCAATTCCCGAAGTACCTGTACCAGCTCGGTGTACGTCTGCCATCTGCTCACTGTCTCCGACATGTCTCCTGCATCAGCCCATACTGTTTGTGTGGCAACCATTATCCATTCCAGCAGGGTATGATCCCCCTGGCCATACCGCTGGCTATTCTGCAGCCTCTGTCTCAAGGATGGGTATAAAATCACTGAGGCCAGTCTCTCCATCTCTTCTGCCATACAAATAATCCCATCCACCCTACAAACTAGTAGCCAGTCTGCCTAGGATTCCTCTGGTTTCTGGCAGAACTGTTTGCCCAAGTCCACCAGTTCCAATGCTTGGGTGTATGTCCACCGGTTCCAACACTTGGGTGTATGGTCGGTACGTAGTAAATTCTGTCATTTGTGGTGGTCCAGCAGCCTCACCCCCTGGGGCCATGGGCTGCCTTAGTTTCATTTTCTGAGTCACCACCGGCTGGGCCCGGAACATGGGACGAGCCTCCTCCTCCTCTCCAGAGAAGCCTGGCATCTCTGCAGTCTCAGGTTGGTTTGCCACTACTGGCTAAGACTCGGGCAAAGGACCAGCCTCCCTCTCCTCTCTTGAGAAGGAGTCTGGTGTCTTTGGACTGGTGGGTTGGTTTCTCCGAACTTCTTCCTCCAGAATCCTCAAACATTGTTGTAGTTTCTGCATCTCATACTGTACTTATTGGATTCTGGAGCGCTCTTTCTGCCTAGACTCTTGCGGAGTTGTGAGAAACACCCGCAGCCCCTGCCGCCTCATGGCAGGGGCTCTTCTGTTTCCGTACAGGGGCTCTTCTATTTCCGTACAGGGCCTGTTCCAACTGCACCGGGGATCCATCTACCTCTGGTCATTCCTGGGGAAGTGCCCACTGGGAGAGGAGGCTGGCCACTGAGTACCATCTGCTAGTGGCTGGCCACCCGGCAATCCCTCCCCAGGTTTCAAAGGGTTCCATACCCGTCTGCGCCAGCTGTCCTGCTTTGAACCGTCCTGCTGTCTATGCCAAATGTCGTGCAACCAACCCATACTGGGTAGGTTCGTTACCGGTTCTAACAGCCATGTTGGTGTCTTCACGCTCTCCGCTGTTTGTCGCTGCACTCCGTCGCACTCTGCCACTCTGCCACTCTCCCTCCATGCCACTTCACTCCTCCATCCTCGGCATGGCAACGCACTGCACTGAGCTGCGAGATGGTATCTCTTTGTAGTTTTGACCTGTAGGAGATGAGCTGTTTAATTTAAAATAAGGTCACTGGGGCAGGGTCCTAATCCAATCTGACTGGTGTTCTTAGAAAAAGAAGTGCCCCCAGGGTTGAAGGCCATGTGAGGACTCAGGGGAAAGACAGCACCCAAAAACAAAGGAGAGAGGTCTCAAAAGAAACCAACCCTGTGAGAACCTTGATATTGGACTTGTAGCCTTAGAACCATGAGAAAATATAATTGTTTTCTTTAAGTGGCCCTAACAGACTAATGAAGAGACAATGAATGGATGTTTGTGAATAATTATAAGTCACATGTGGTAAAGGATAGTACCTGATGCAAAGTAAAAAGGACATCAGGGGAGGCTACCCAGAAAACATGGGTTATAGAAGCAAAGGAGCAGGTGGAAGGTGACCAGCATGTGGGCCACTATGGCAAAAGCAAAGACCCAAGAGAGGGAGAGAGAAAGCCTGTACCTGAGAGTCTGAGAGAAAGTAGAGTTGGAGGGTGAGGTTGGGGTAAGCTGGGGGTGAGGTTGGCAAAGTCCAGTGGGGTAGGGCTTTATAGGCCAAGGTGTAGAGTTTGGTCCTTCCACCAAGAGTCCTGGGTGTGAGGGGAAATGACCAATGGGTCCACAATCCTCTGGTCTGCCTTTGGTAGGGAGGGGTGGGAAAAAATAGAAAAGTTAGTTGGAATGGCCACTAGTGTGATTTTTGAAAGCTAGGTTTTATTAACGTAGACGGATTTATCTAGACAGCAACAATGAACATAGCAATGAACATGAAATGAGTGAAAGGTTAAGAGTCATGAGAAGCAGGAAGGGGCACCTGGCATTTGTCAAAGTACTTTTCAGGGACCTACATAAAATCTTTGCATGCTAAAAGTAAAATAATTGACTCAAAAAAAAAAAAATCTGCAGAATTAAAATCAAGTTAATTGGGGCCTCCCCGGTGGCGCAGCGGTTGAGTGCCAGATTGCGAAGCTGCCCACAGCCTCTGCAGCGCCGGTTCGATCCCCAGCTGCTCCCCGGCCACCAGGCAAGGGTCCCACATGGCAGGCAGACCTCTCCTGCCGCCCGCTGCTCCCCTCAGCAGTGTACTTCGGTCCTTCTGCCTGCTCTGCTCCCCACTCTGGCTCAGTGAATTCTCTCACACTCCCGCGCTTCTGACTGTACCCAATAAATCTTTAAAAAAAAAAATTAATTAAATAAATAAATAAATCTTTTTAAAAAATAAAATAAAAGTTAATTAAAATTAAGTTTTTATTAAATGTCTACACAACACATTCATCATGTCAATTTTTTTTGATGATACTTACTTTTCAGAAAGAGGGCAATAAATTTAAAAACAATTTGAGAGCTAGATTTTTCTCATCTTGAAATAAACCCCAAGTGAACACCTTAGTCTCCATAAAAACAAATGACAGCCAATCACAAATTAGACAAGTTACCTGTAGCTAAGTAATTTTTAAAGCAAATATTATTAAGTAGTTATAATTTTACAGCAAAAACATACAGTTGACCCTTGTGCAATGAGGGTTAGGACCACTGATCCCCCCACCCCCAGCACTAAAAAATTCCCATATAACTTTTGACTCCCAAAAAAACTTAACTGGTGTTGCCCCTGGGTATCCTCAGGGATTTGTTTAAGAACCCCCACACCAAAATCCAGAAATGCTTGGGTCCCTTATGGGGGCCTTCCATATCTGTACATTCTGCATCCACAGATTCACCCAACACACTTCCCCACTGGTTGAATCTTCATGGATAGAGGACCAACTGTACTTACTAGAGAAAAAAGCCACATCTAGTGGACCTATGCAGTTTGAACTCGTGTTGTTCAAGGGTCACTGTTTATTTAACATGGGGAGTTTGGTATGGTGTGTGGTGGAGTGTTCTACAGACTCTAGGCCCAAGGAGATCTAAAAAACTCCCAGGAACACATCCAGAGCATGTCACACAAGGAAGACTGGGCTTGGAGAGGAGAAGGTTTCAGGGAATTTGGTAGAGGGAGATTAACAGGCTCTTCTTAATGGCTTTTTTCATCTAGGAAGTAGACGAGGTTATCTCTTCTGCGGGTGAGCAGACAGTGGGGAACTGAGTAGAGGGAGGGGGCAAAGCCAATGCGAGGGCCCAGCTGAGGTCAATTACTCCACCAGGAGTAAATGATTGTGCAGGTCTGCCTAGTTGTGCCATACTAGCCAGAAGTGTGTCTTCTGGAACAATCTGGACACACGCTCAGAGATTGTTGGATTCACCCAGGGTTGGGTTCAGTAGAGTGGGCAGAATAAATGGTAAAATTAGGATAGGCAGTTAACATCTTTTGAGTGCCTACAGTAACAAGCACATGGAAAGACTTTTACATACACTGCCTCTGTCATAACAATCATTTTACCAGGATGCGTTTGGTTGCAAGTAAGAGAAAAATCCAACTAACAATGGCCTCAGAATATTCTTTCGAGTATCTCTACATTTCTCAACTTCATGTGTCTCCTTCCATGACCCCTAAAGCCCTGGTACAAATCCAAAGTTAAGAAGAAAGTGGATTTTCTTCACATGTCTCTGTTCCATGCGCCTCCTCCAAGTCTTTTTCAGCTTCTCCATCCTCGCTCAGGTCCACCCTTCATTAGGTGGGACAGGGAACAGGTAACCTCCCCTTTTAATGGTGATACACAATCTGTAACACAACTAGCACCCACTCAACAGAAATGATGATTCCCTAAACCGGGAATTGAAACTGAGCAAGGTGGGCCTCCCCAGTGGTGCAGCGGTTGAGCGCTGGGTTGCAAAGCTGCCTGCGATCTCTACAGCACCGGTTCGATCCCTGGCTGCTCCCTGGCCACGGGAGGAGGGTCCCACATGGCGCGCAGACCTCTCCTGCTGCCCGCTGCTCCCCTCAGCAGTGTACTTCGTCACTCTGTTCTGCTCTCCGCTCTGGCTCTGGTGAATTCTCTCACCCTCCCACACCTCTGACTGTACCCAGTGCTTGTATAAATAAATAAATAAACAAATAAAAATCTTTAAAAAAAAAAAGAAAGAAACTGAGCAAGGTGCTGGAGGCATAGTGGTCCTCATGGAGCAGAGTTGGGCAACTAATTTACTGAAGAGGAAAATTGAATGATCAATAAATACAGAAAAAGGGGTTGTGCCTCACTGAAGACGGATAAAAGGCAAATGAAAATAGAGATATAAGTTGATTTCCATCAGATTAACAAAAAATTTTGTTTGATGATACTATCTACAACCTAATACCATATTGTCAAGAATATGAGGAAATAAGAATCCTTAATCTGGAAGATATATCAGTTTTTGTGGATTGTTGTTTGACTTGTGAATAAAAACTCTTTTAAGCCACATCACTATTGAATGAAAATACTTAAATTGAGGGCCTCCCCGGTGGCACAGTGGGTTTAGCACTGCGCTGTGAAGCTGTCTGCAGCCTCTGCAGAGCAGGTTCAATTCCCAGCTGGCCAGAGAGATATCCACATGGCGTGGCAGATCTCTCCTATCTCGCCCACTGCTCACCTCAGCAGTGCATTTCAGTCAGTCTGCCTGTTCTGTTCCCCGCTCTGTCTCTGGTGAATCCTCTCACCCTTATGTGCCTCTGGCCTGTATCCTAGCTCTTGTGAAATGAATAAAATCTTTAAAAAATATATTTAAATTGAATCTGTGAAAATTCTTACTATGGGGCCTCCCTGGTAGTGCAAGGGGTTAGGACGCAACCTATAAAGCTATCCACAGGCACTGCAGCACAAGTTCTATCCCCAGCCAGGGAACTACCCACATGGTACAGCAGACCTCTCCTGACTCGCCCACTGCTCCCCTCAGCAGTGTATTTCAGTCAGTCTGCCTGTTCTGTTCCCCACTCTGTCTCTGGTGAATCCTCTCACACGCCACACCTCTGACTTATACCCCAGCTTTTGTATGCCTAAATAAATAAATCTTTAAAAAAAATTCTTACTATGTTTCTAGACTGGATTATAAATTAAGATAACCATTATGGAGAGCATTTGGCAACAATGAGTAAAGTTGAAGAGGCACAAACAGGATGATGCAGCCATTCTACTACTCAGGATATCTCATAGAAAAGTTTGGGGCGTCCCTGGTAGTGCAAGGGGTTAAGCACCGCACTGAGAAGTAGTTCGCAGCCTCTGCGGCACAAGTTCGATCCCTGGCCAGCCAGGGAGCAATCCACATGGCACAGCAGACCTCTCCTGTCTCGCCCACTGCTCCCCTCAGCAGTGTATTTCAGTCAGTCTACCTGTTCTGTTCCCCACTCTGTCTCTGGTGGGTCCTCTCACCCACCTGTATCTCTGGCCTATACCCCAGCTCTTGTATACATAAATAAATAAATTTTTTTTTAAAAAAAGTTCCCACAAATGTGCTCAAGGGGATGTATCTAAGAACCTTTACTGCATTACTGTTTGTAATAGCAAAAATATGCAGTCAACCAAACTGTTTCAACAACAGAAGAATAAAAATGTAAACTATCATATATCCATATGACAGAATACTACACAACTGTAGAAATGACTGAACTAGATATCAATCTGGGTAAATTTTAAAGACATCATGTTGGATTTTTTATAAACTGTTAAAATACAAACAGTTTTGATACATCTGCAATAAAAGTATGAAAACACCAGTGGGAATGTTACAGGGCAGGGAGGGGGCACTCCAGAACCCCCAAACCTCCCTGCTCTAAATAGGTTCTGCCATCTGCTGCATCAACCCAAAACACCTAAGTCCTTAATGGAAAGGAACTTTAATACAATTAGTGTGCAATACGGATAAGACAAAGAATATAGTTTTTAAATCAGGCACCCGAATTTACCCATCCCCTTGGTAAATGTCCAGCCAAACAAACTTGGCCCAGAGAAAGGCCCAAAATCCTGCTACAAGTCTAAAGCACCTTCCGGCGGGGACCCATAGAAAAGGGTCAGAAACAGCCAGACATGTCTGGGAGGAAAAGAGCAAAATCCAAATCAAGATAAAAGCTACCATTGTTAACCATCTCCCTCCTTCCACCACTCCGCCCCTCCTTCTTACCCTAGTCTCTCACCACATCTCTTTCAACCAGTCCAGGACCAAGAAGCAAGTGCAGTTTTTTCACATGTATCTCTGTTCCATGTGACTCCTCCAGGTCTCCTTGCTGTTCTCCTTCCTTCCTCCAGGTCTCCTTGCTGTTCTTCCTTTCTCAGTCTCCTCTCCAGCCTCTTCTCTTCCCTGATCAGCAATACCCTCCCCTGGGTGGGGCAGGGAACCTGGAACCTCCCTTTTTCCTGGGGACCACCCTGTTACAGGAATGATACACATCAATCTCAGGGAAATGGTTATCTCTGGAAGTAGGTGTAGCATTTTAATTGTTTGTAATCTTTTAATTAAAAAAGAGAAAAAAAATATGGCAAAGGGGCCTCACCAGTGGCGCAGCAGTTGAGTACTGGGCTACGAGGCTGCCCGCAGCCTCTGCAGCGCCGGTTCGATCCCAGCTGCCGGTTAGGGTCCCACATGGCACGCAGACCTCTCCTGTTGTGCCCTCTGCTCCCCTCAGCAGTGCACTTCATCGGTCTGCCTACTTCTGCTCCCCGCTCTGGCTCTGGTGAATTCTCTCACCCTCCCATGCTTCTGACTGTACCCAGTGCTTGTATAAATTAATAAATAAATCTTAAAAAATATACATATATATGGCAAAGTGTTATCCATTAAGTCTTGGAAGTATCTGAGCATGTTTGACATATCTGATAATTTCAAAATTAAAAAAAGTCAATTAATTAAAGTGATGGACAACTGAAGAGCTGTTTATGACAATGAAACTAAAACATCCTAAATTTCAGCTGAGTTGGTAGAATACTTCCATCTCTTGAGTTTCATGCCCTCAGAAGAAAAGTCTGAATAAAATGAGTGGACAACTGTACAAGAAGTCCCTGAAGATCAAACGCATGGTTTTAAAGTCACATAAGCCTGGCTGAATTCACTATATTATCATGGGGAAGTCACTTCTCTCTAGACTTACCTTCTATTTTATGAGATGAAGATAAACTGACAAGTTGGCAGACTAACACCAGCCAGCTCCAGAGAGTGAGGGTACCAGAGAGTGAAAGGGAAGTTAGTAGAAACTGAGAAACTGCCCTGTGGCGACCGCAAGAGGACTAGACCTGGGTTTGGGGATGGCAGTCCACACAGATAGGATAGAGTTCTGATATCGGCAACAGGGGGGCACTAAAACTGGCCAAGGACACTGCCCAAATAGTTTACCGGTCACTGTCTGAGTTCTTCACCCACACGCACAATTGCAAAACTACTTAGGCTCAGGGAACAGCAACAATGGGATTTATTGAACAAACCAGGCAAAAACAAATAATTAGTGAGGCCAAAAATGGCCATTTACCTCACCCGAAGCAGCATCCAATTTTTCAGTCCTAGACAAAAGCAGCTAAAGTGACGTCTTCCCACCCCTGAGGATGCAACACCAGACAAGTGACACTCAAGACAACAGCTGCAGCAGCCCAACAACCCACCAAATGGCCATACTCACAGCAAACATTTGTTAAGCCTGGACTCTGGGCCCTCAGTCTTATATACTTATATACCTATCTTATATACTTATATACTTGTCAAATGACAAGATGAAAAAGTAGGGAGCACTTTTCTCTCTCTCTGGTCATCTTGGTGGCTGCTCTTGGTTGGGGGCCATCCCACACCTCAGGCAGGAAGATGGTGGTCAAAAAGAAGACGAAAAAGTTGTGGGAGTCAATCAACTCTAGTCTCCAACTTGTTATAAAAAGTGGAGAGTACATGTGCTGGGGTACAAGCAGATTCTGAAAATGATCAGACAAGGCAAAGCAAAATTGGTCATCCTTGCTAACAATGGCCCAGCGTTGAGGAAATCTGAAGAGGAATACTACACCATGCTGGCCAAAACTAACATCCATCTCTCCAGTGGCAACAACAGAGTGTACGCAGGTCATCGTTGACAGGGGTAAAGTTGACAGCATTACAAGCAGTCCAGAACAGATGGGCAAAAGCAAACATGCAAAATTTTTCTTTAATAAAACTGGGCAGAGCTTGTTTTGAAAATAAACAAAAAAAAAAAAAAAAGCGGGGGAAGCACAGTCAACACATAAGAGTGACTGGACTCCTGCTGAGACATAAGAGGATGATCACCTGCTCAGGAGGCAAGAAATGTAAGGCGAGGACAAATTAGACCTTGATAAACCTTCACCTTTCAAGGGATTAAGGTGTTTTCTTTTAAAATGACTTAAAATATGAATATCAGGATTAAATCCTTCAAAGAATTTTTTTTCTTACTGCAAAGTGCTGGATAAACTCACTGGTGCTAACTATTCTCTTTGTGAGAATATGCTCCTGTCTTGCTGGTGAAGAGATCCAAGGAATGAGCTGGTCCCCTGGTCAAGTTTTAAAAGTATGTAGGAGCTCTTACACCAGTGAGAATGGCACATATTAAAAAAAAAACAACAACAACAACAAATGTTGGCGAGGTTGTGGAGAAAAAGGAACTCTCCTGCATTGCTGGTGGGAGTGCAGACTGGTCCAAGCACTATGGAGAGCTGTGTGGAGATTTCTTGACCTGCTAAACATAGAGCTTCCATATGATCCAGCAATTCCACTCCTAGGTATTTACCCAAATGACACAGAAAACATTTATTCCAAAGGGCACCTGCATTCCTATGTTTATAGCAGCACTATTTACAATAGCTAAGCTTTGGAAACAGCCCAAATGCCCAAAAATAGATGACTGGATCAAGAAGATGTGGTACATATACACAATGGAATATTACTCAGCAATCAAAAAAGATAAACTCATGCAGTTTGCAGCAACATGGATGGAGCTAGAAGGGATCATGCTCAGCAAAATAAGTCAGAAAGATAAAGAAAAATACCGGATGGTCTCATTCATAGCAAGAATTTATAAAACCTTAAATAAGGGACCAGGAAAAAGACTACTTAATACAAGGTAAAAATCAAAATCAACAAGCCACTATAAACCAGAAACACACTAGGGTTGGGGGGTGAGGGAGAGGAAGGACTAGGGTCAAAATAAGGCGGGGGGGGTGGTGCAATTGTATGGGGAATATAACCAAAATGAAAATGCATACATTGTGCAAAAATGAAAAATGAAAATATTTTTTAAAAATAAAAAAACAAAAAACAAAAAAAAGCATCTAGGAGCTTCCCAGGTCAGCGTCCATACTGCTTTCCATAGGAGCAGGACCAGTCTGCATTAACACCAACAGTATAAGAGGGTTCCTTTTTCTCTGCATACTCACCAGCATTTTTTAAAAAAATATTTATTTTCTTTATTTATGCATACAAGAACTAGGGTGCAGGCCAGAGGTGGTGTAGGGTAAATGGTTTTTCAGGCTTTTCTACCCTCCGACCATTAGGATTGCCCTGCCTTAATGGGGGGGGTACCTGCAGTTGTTGTTACATTGTTGCAAACTATCTTATTTACTTCTGTGGGCCATGGGAAGAGTATTGAGATAGTCACTAAGAGAAGCAGAAGCAGGAGAGAGAAGGGGAGAAGAGAAAGCCAGAGAAACCCAGAGTGAAGACTTGCCATGAGGCCTCCTGGGCCCCAGGCACCCCTGCATGCTGCTCTATATGTAACAGCTCAATAAAAGCCTGAGAAAGCCACCGAGGGCTCCAAGACTTTCCTTTACCCATCTGCCGGATCATAGATAACCTGCTCAGTGCCCATCCTGCCACTACAGGTGGTGGTGAGAGGATTCACCACAGACAGAGTGGGGAACAGAACAGGCCTACTGACTGAAACACACTGCTGAGGGGAGCAGCAGGTGAGGTTCCATTCAGGTCTGCACTATGTAGGTAGCTCCCAGGGCCGGCATTGAACTCATGCTGCAGAGGCTGTGGATTGAAAGGCCAATGCAGGAGGCCCGAATGCAAAAAACCCACCAGGAAGCCCACCTGGGGACAGGAATGCGGAAGCCTGCCTAGAGGATTCAGACAATGAGCCTCCCCCACCCCCAAATCTCTTCTCAGGCAAAGAACCTCCACCTGCCCCACGAATCTTTTCCCGCCCTACAAACCTTTTCCCGCCGTAGGAACCCAGTTTCCCACCTGACCTCTCCCCACCCTATAAAAGCCTGCATCCCCCTGAAAAACGTGCGCGACTCTACTGACCACCGCCTTGGGTCCATGAGGTCCACCCGGGAGCAATATACTTTCCCTTCCCCTAAGGAAGCTTGGCTTGGCTGCTCTTTACCGCGTTGTGCTTTTCATCTTGGTGCCGCAAACGCGGGAAGGCTGTGTCCCCTGGCGCTGGGGCCGCCTTTTCGTCCCTGGGACCTCTCCTCTCCATTGCAGACACCTCACATCCACCACCGGCCTTAATCCTTGGGGTAAGTCACCTGCCTGACTGTAGGGTAAAGAAAACGTCAGGCTTTCTGCCCTCCCGCCATCAGGATAGATGATGGATCCTTGTCCTGAATGCATGCCTGATGGCGGGCACCTGGAATAGGGTGTGGGCATAGGTAGATGGGATTCAGCTGAGCTAAGACTGTGCTTTTAAGGGCGGCGTCACGGGGACGCCAGTAGCAGCAGTAGAAGCCGAAGCCGAAGCCGAGAGAGAAGCCGAGAAGCAGCAGAACGAACTCCAGAGAGCCCAGATAAAGTGAAGACTTGCTGGGGGCTGGGAGGCCAGCCTGCCAGCCTCCAAGCCCCCCAGCCAGCACCCCTGCCTGCCATATGCCTGGTGAACCCCAATAAAAATCCTGCAAAACCACTGAGGACTCTGACTCCTCCTTTACCCAGTCTGCATGGGATCAGAAAACCTGCACTGTGCTCCAGTTCTGCCCTTTACAATTGGCTTAAGTCGGCAAGATCCATGCAGACGGGTATTGGAGCCCTCCGAAGACCTGGAGGGACTAAGGAGAACAGACTGTTTGCCTGTGATGACGCTGGAGGCGCCATGGCGGCACAGAAGGTGGACACCGTCCACGAGCTACAGGACGAGACCTGGCGTGAAGGAGACGCCCGAGAGAACCAGCCAATGACACCCAAAAGGACCAGCCAATGACCCCTGAGGCAGCAGAATCGTCGGGGAGAGGACCACGATTCAGCGCTTGCCGGTGCTGATGCAGGGAGAGGCCAATGGACTTCAACTGATGGACATGGACTGATAAACTTGGACTGACAATCCTGCCAGAAGGTGGAGGACCTTGGCAGGTTATGTTTTTTTTTTTTTTTTGAGAATCTGGGGGTGGCCAGTGGGCCTTGATGGCCAAAAGCAGCCTGTGCATGCCCAGCAGCCAGG